GTGCTCCAGTAGTGCTATGGGAAGGACGGAAACCTGATTGGAAAGGGCATAACAGGTGATTGACCGTGAGATACTGATGTAATTGATTGTGAACTACTGATTCAAGGACCTTAGAGAGAATGGGGAGAATGGATATGGGGCGGAATTGGGAGAAGCTGGTCGGATTCGGAGTTTTGGGAATTGGAATAATAAAAGCCTTTTTCCACTGTATTGGGAAAACATTGCATTTCAGCGAGTAATTTATAATGTGTGTAATTACGGGCAATATCTCATCCAACACAGGCAGAATCATATCGAGGCTTAAGTTGTCACTGCCAATGGCTTTGGTAGATATGGAACAGATAATCTTTCTGACAGCGTCTGTGGACACCATACGGAAAGTAAAAGGAGAGCAATCAGGCACTTCGGCATTAGAAAGATATAAAAGAGAGTTGACCTTAACAGAATTACTTAAAGAAGAGGGAGGAGTGGAAAAGTGAGTATTCAAACCATTAAGGTCCAAGTTGTTAAGAGATTGATTAGAGGATTTGCCTATGCCTAAAGATTGCAGAAATTTCCAGACTTGTGGCTGGGAAAGGTTTTGAATGGTAGAATGGATATAGCGACGTTTGGCATCCCTACACATTCTGTTGCAGATGTTACGTAGTTTCTTATAAGCTCCGAAATTAACCTGAGATTTATCGTGCTTATACCGGGCCTTAGCTCTATCCCGCTTAGCCATAGTTCTTCTAATTACTGGGGATAGCCACGGAGCCGGTGCATGCCTAATACGAACAGGACGAACTGGAGCATGAGCATCATACAGTTTCAGTAATTCCAGATTTAAGATCTCTACCATCATGTCTACGCTATCAGCCGAGAGCAAACTCGACCAATCCATGCGTCTCACATCCTCTCTCAGACGACTCAAATCCATATGCTGAAAGTCACGAAGCAGACGAACCTTGCCTTTAGTCTTAGGAGGGCGTACCCTATAAGAAAGATATACTAGATCGTGATAAGAGAAAGGAGAGCACATTTGCCCATGATAAATGGCCATATAGGGATCAGAAACAATCATGAGATCAATAAAGGAAGGGTTACTGTTAGGGAAATAATGTGTCGGATTTGGCAATGTCAGTATTTGAAGATTTAGCGCAGTAGTTAATCTCTTAAGTTTACTCGCTCTGTTGTCATCCCTCAACAAGCAGGTATTTAAATCTCCCATAAGAATGACATGATCATACTGAGTCACTAAATTTTCTAGTAGATGCTCTAAGGTGTCAAAGTAATCAATCCTGTTGGAAGGACAATACAAAACACCAAGTAAGATCTTTTTATGGTGAATTTCCAAAGAAAGAAACAAGTATTCGAGAGAACCACTATATTCTGACTGAGATGCGCAAACCACATTCGCAGCAATGTGATTGCGAAGGTAGATCCCTACTCCACCTCCACCTGTAGGTGTCCGATCATTGCGAAAGAATTTGTATCCCGGAATGGCACAACTGACAGATGGTAGTGAGGGTTTTAGCCATGTTTCGGATACAAGTATACAATCAACTATGCCAGCGCTGAAGGATGTGAGAATATCAGTGTAATGAGCTATAATACTCTGAGCGTTAATATGCACTAGGGAAAGGAATTTGGAATGGTCATTAAAGGCAATACGCAATTTATTTTCAAGAGGGTCACTATCACATAACGAAGAGTCATGACTAGATACAGTATCAAAATCATCAGAGGAAGAACAAGAAAAGTAATCGTCATGTATATTCATAAATACTTGCTAAATGTATAAAAATAACAATATATTAATAAATAAATATTAGTAAATATATATTATTTTACTAAATATATCTGCAATAATAAATAAAAAAAAAATTGCTTAATTACTGCATAGGTTGACGCAATGAGTCAAGTTCATACTTACTACAAAAAATTAATTTAATTATATGTATCATACTAGTCTTTATCCGCAGCTTTGTCTGCGTGATCGGTATGTCTCGTATTGATTTACTGAGATAAAAAGAAGCATATGTCCTTCTTCATCACAAATAATACGTCTATGCCAAATTATATAACGATTGACTAAACCATTAATGCACCAAGGTGTAATAAACAAACAGATAAAGTCACTTAAATTTATATTAAGAACAAGGTCTATAATTATATTTTAACATCTTAAAAAATATATATAGTTTCTGATAAGTATAAATAAGGATATGAATTCTTTTAAGATGAGATTACCTATAGCCTAGATATACTATAACATTAATGAAGCCACCTTTACCACCTTTTACTGAAGTGGCTCTAAGCAAAATGTTAACGACGCCCGGTGTAAACATTTGATTCTTCTGACCCATGGAATCTCTCTTAAATATTGGTACCCATTTGGACTTTGGCACTCCCCTTAGTTTCCAATGCCACCCATCCCCCTCCTCTCCCTCCTAGGCTGGTACCAGCGAAGCACTTTGATATAGGATTTTATTTCGAGTTTTCCTTCGTTATTCCTTATTGCCCTTTGTTCTCTTTGTCGCCCCTCACAATATCCTGTGGATGTAAAAGAAGTGTCGTAGTTATTGTGACATCACTTTCAGGTACAATATCAACTACATTTAGAAACTTTAAATACTGTTAGATATATGTATTAAAAATGATCAAACATTACTTGTCAAGCAATTGTTATGCCACTTGCAAGCACAAATTGTGCATTTTAAAAGAAGCTACTTGACTTCTTATTAGAAAAGAGAGATATTGTGTAAATATATAATAGTACTGAGGTATTTTTCAATTATAAGAAAACAGTGATCATAATGATAATCAAACGTTCAACAAAGCATTCAACTACAGTTTAGAGAACCTTGTTGAATTCCACCCTAACTATGCTCGTACTTTTCATGTTAAAAATTATGCCATACCCCAGACAGGGCATAAATAATTTGCCTTAATCAATTAAGACTACATGAAATTAAATTAAAAATTATTAGGGAGCAGAGTTTTACCTATACTTAAAATGTAACATTTATTTTGATATAAATTATTATTATTATTTAAATATATATTGTATTTAACATCTCCCTTTTTATGGGGGTAAATGTTCAACCATGCGGGCCTTAGCCAAGCAATGGTTGACTTTAAATTATATATGAGGACGATGACAATAATGAGGAAAGAAATTTCCTGGGTAATACTGGAAAGGGTATGATTCCTGTAGACGATAGTACAATGGGTATTATGTGGATTGTGTACGCTTTCCATTGCTTCTTTATTTCTATTGCTAAGTCTGTATATTTTGATAATTTTTCATTAATAGTGCTTTGTATATTGTGTGAATTCGGAATAGCTATGTCAACTATGTATACTACATTATTGTCTTTATCATGTATAGTTATATCGGGTCTATTGAAATGAATGGTTTTATCGGTTATTATTATTATTAAATTAAAAAACAATGACAGCTATATATTTGAAAAAGTATTGAACACTAAGCCTTTACTACGTTACCAATTCCCAACATAGGTAGTTATTATTGACTAATATCCTTGGCTTAAAGGAAAAGAACTACATCCAATAGTGTAGGAACAGTACCATACCACCATACCACGAACCATACCTACCATAAATATTAGAGAAAATATATTTGTGTATAGACAAATTTAGGATTTTCCAATGTAAACTTACTTAAATCCTTGTAAAATACTTATCGACTTTAATCTATTAATTACTTATCTATAAGTAAATAGTAAAACCCCAACAATTAAGAGTATATACGTGAAATATTATGAAATTCATAATCAATACAAAATTAATTTATTAATCTGCGAGATTATCTACATACTACGAAATATTAGTCATAAATCATAAATATTATAGTTATTGTAGTGATAAGTGTCTATCTATACTTTTGTAATATTTAATAATAGATATTTATCATAACAGTTTTCCCCAAATTTATTTTCAATTACTTATTCATTTCTAATCGACCTCAATAATAATGGTTATCAATTCTTTCGTGTTTCATCATGTTATATTTATTATTGCGTATGACTAATTAACAGTCCAATTGTTAATTAAAATATTTTACCCGGAATTAATTCCAATATTGACGAAACCAAAGTAAATAAATGAAAGGGTTTCTCCTTTATCATTTTTAATTTCGCAATTAAATATAATTATTCAATATTATGGTGTTTGTTTGTTACCTCTTTTATGCCGGTCAATCAATATGAGTATAATATCCCAGTCACACGAATGAAGTCGTGGGTAAAAACTAGTATTTCATTAATTTAAAAGAAATCAATTGATGTAGATATTTTAAAATGGAAAAAATTTTATATAAAAAAATTTACACTAATAAGTAGCACAGTAATTATTTTATGGAGAAGCATAAATTTATTTCCGGAAATCGTTGTGTTCGAAATGTTGTTTTCATCATTCGCATTTATCGCATCCGCTCGTATCTAAGCAAGTTTTAATATCGTCATCATTGAAATTTATTAAAAAATGTGAATACAAACAAAAATTTGTGCAAAATTAACTAAAATACAGTCGAATTCAAAGATTCACTATTTTAAAGTCGTTTAAAAAGTTTCGATACTTAAAGCTTCATGCAACAAGCATTTTAGCAAAACCAATTATTTAGCATTTTCGACTACAAGATTTTGTATTGATCAAAATAGAAAATAGATTCTGGAAAAAATTATTCTCTGTTGTTCCATTCGATTGATGAACATTTGATAATTAAATTCCAGTATAAAATACTCAGGATTTAACACACCATATTTACTTATTTTAATAAATCTGATGATATTTATATTTTATTACTAATAGCAACTGATATCAAAAAGTGGTATTAATATCTAAATGTCTACTTAGATATTAATACTAAGTACAGCGATTTTCCTGGGTAATAAAAGTATTGTATCAGATTAACTGTTATTAATACTAGCTCGCAAAATGGCTGCGTCGTGTTTAGTTAAAAGATAAGATTTAACAATCCTTTATAAACAACAGAGTCGCTGACCTCTTTACAATAACGCTAAAATGCGTGCGATAGTTGTATTGTTCCTTCTTTGTGTTAATCTGGTGTGGGTTCGTACTATACCCAGTGAAGATTTCGTCGGATGGCATGAAAAGGTAGGAATTAAGAATGCCCAGGAAATTAAACAACTTGAAGATCGCATCGTTGGCGGCACTGTAGCTCCTTTGCACGCTCATCCATACCTGGCCGGTCTCCTAATAGATGTTATTGGCTTTTCGCAACCATCAGCATGTGGAGGATCACTCATTTCGTCTACCAGAGTTTTGACGGCAGCACATTGCTGGTCTGATGGAAGGTTCCAGGCTTATCAAATTACTGTAGTCCTGGGATCTGCGTATCTTTTCCACGGTGGAATCAGAGTCCTTCCTTATGCAATAGCACTACACCCGCAGTATAATCCAAAAACCTTTGCCAATGATATTGCTATGTTGTATTTACCAAATTCAATCGAATTTAATCAAGCAATCAGACCATTAATATTACCCTATGGCTCATTATTGACTATGGACTACACAGGAGTATGGGCGAGAGCTGCTGGTTTTGGAAGGTTCTCAGACGTTATTACATCTTCGGCAAATTCCACCATAGCAAGAAATGTTTTTCTTCAAGTAATAACTGTACAACAATGCAGAAATGTTTTCGGGAATTATGTACTGGAATCAAATATTTGTACTAATGGGTATGGCGGTGTTGGAATATGTCAAGGAGACTCAGGTGGGCCCTTAACAGTAACTACCACAGATGGACAAGACATTCTCATAGGTGTCAGCTCATTCGTAGCCCGAGATGGGTGTCAACTAGGATATCCTTCTGCTTTTGCTAGAGTTATGTCTTACATGAACTGGATTCGTGCACATATGTGACTCTTTGTTAATTAATAATTTTTAAACGCAATGTCTTTAGTGTAACAATTTTTCTAAAACTCATACGTAATTATATAAATTGCATAGTATAAATTGTACAGATTTTTTTATGTATTGTTGGTGTGCATTAATAAATACATTATGTTTACAAATTGTTCGTAATAATAAATATATAATTACAAATCTCAGATTAAATTTATTATTAAAAAACAACCTCTATTTGCATGTAGGTACATAAACAATAATTTCTATAATTGTTTTCTATCGTTGTTTCTTTAAGAAATTTTTAAACTATTGTCCAATTTGGTGTTTATGGCATGTATTTATTTGGCCACTATATAGCCTAACGATTGTCTTATGTTTTTAAAAATCAATATTTTTAAAAACATAAATTATTCATTAACTTGTACTTGTGTAGCCCAAATATATAGTACAGATAGAATTTTTATATGCGGAGAATGGTAGTTGATACTTATATGCATACTTACATAAATATATATGATGCCAAAAAGGAATCAACTGATATCTAAATGACATTATAAATCATGAAAATAAGTTAAATGTTTCCTGCAGTGATGACCATATGTATAAACACAGGTACTCACCATTATTTAAATAAACCAATATAGTGGTAATACATGTGAATAAATCTAAGTTTACACAAACAAAATCGCAGATCGATATTAAATTACTAATGATATTTTGTACAAGCAATAACCATTAGTAGCATATTTTTAGACAAAAGATGCCACTAATGACTACTACAACATTTACGTTAAGTTCAAAAACACAACATGAAACCAATTTTCGTAAAATTAATAAAAGATTTTTTGTGTAATTATTTATAGATCAGAAAGCATGAGAAACAACTTTAGCTGAACCCTGCTGACAATAATACCTTCCTCAAACATAGCTTAGAACTTTTAAAAGAAAGATAAATTGCTAGGCGAGCGGCATCGTATAAATTTAGCTTTTTTCGATAAGAACTTGCATGGAATTTTACTTAAGTACTTTAGAAATTTCACTATAAAGGAATAATTTAAAATATAGATTATTAATATATTAATTATAATATATATATATATATATATTATTATAATTAATATAATTATATATATTATATATTATTAATTATAATATATATATTATCAATTTTATACGCTACTTGACAACACATCTATAAAAATCTGTTGCTGAAAATCACATCACTTCAGAATAGATGCACTTATTTGGTTAATTCTTTTTTTGTTGTCAGAATAAGATTTCCATAAAAGAAAATGTTTGATAAATCAGATGTAAAAATGAAAAATTTTGTAAATCCATGCGAAGCCGGAGCGTCTTTAGTTTGCCTATCACGGCAAAATAAAGTTATTCAATAAAAATTTAAATTGTTTGTAAATTTAAAAAGAAGTTCCCACACTCCAATCTTTCTTTGCGTATAAATAATTACTCGTACTTACCAAGTAAACCTACTTATTACAATATTAGAATATCATCTCCAAATAACAAGTAACCACTGAAAATAAAATTGTATTATATAATTTATATTCAATAATATTTATTCAAGCTCATTATTTGTCCTTGGGGTTTATTATAAGAGGTGATTAGCTGAAAAAAAAATACAAAATACAATGCAAGAACAGAAAAACTCAAAATAAAACGCTTTACCAAACCATGTAAATGGTCAACGCTGTAACAATTGTATGATAATCTTACAATGAAAGGCTAAAAATTAGTTAAATGGATTATATTACGATAAGAAATTACACTGAAATTTATAAATGTATATTGAAAACAATAATTAAATCAAACGTTATACTACCCTAATACATATTTTGGCGAGAACAGGAAGCGTTGAAAATGGGAACGAAGGGAGATTGTTTCAGGAAATATAAGGTTGTCAAATATCTCCCTTCCGCTTTTTTGCTCTTTATTCAATGCTTTATAAAAAGTGTTACAGTTTAGGACGATTCACCGGGCTTCGACCACGACCGTTTTCGCTTGATAATTTCGTATGTGATCCATTTTTCGTTACCAGTCACCATCCACTTCAAAAATGGGTCGACTTCGTTCCGTTTCGGTCCAGAAGGTTTTCTTGCGTCAAATCATGCGGCACCCAAACATCAAGCTTTTTTTTTTGTATCCAGCCTTCTGCAGATGGTTTAAAATGGTTTAGTAACTAACTCCCATCTCTTGGACGTTGTCACGAGATGCCACATGCCGGTCTAACTCGATGTTTTCCATGATTTGATCGGTATTCGTCGTCACAGGTTTTTCACCGGCTCGCTTATTCATGGTGTCGTTTTCACCCACTCTGAATCACGAAACCATTCCTCCACGGTTCGAAGTGATAGAGTACCATCCTCCAAAACACCATTAATCTCAGGAAACGTTTCTCTAGCGGATTTGCCTTTAACGAAGGAAAACTTTAAAAATAGCGCGAATTTCGGCGTTAGTGAACTCCATGTTCCACGTCTATAACTGTTGAACGCAATATCCAAACTAATCATGCATAGCGTCGTTTTGTAGGTTATGTCAAGACCTTTTAAATGATGTATAGTATTGCCAGATACGAGCTCTGTAGCGCTTTGTACATAGCCGCGAAATTCAAAAGACAAAAAGGCAGAAGGGAGATATTTGACAACCTATTATGTTAATGAATGACAATGAACTTATTAATAATTTATAGCTATTACAGAAACCCTTAGTGTTTCTCAATACACTTTCAGTATAATAGAAATTAAACTAAGGCAAAAGTATCCAAGTTTCCAGATAGCTATTGATTGACGCATTTTGTAGGTATAGAGCATAAATTATTAAATTAATTAATTAAAGATTTATGTCTTAAATTAATTAAGTTTGATACGTCATTTTTATACTATGCGTTCAAATGTTTAATTTGTTATCAAGGAAAATTAAATCTAAATAATTCCTAATATGAATATTAGAAAGTTTAAAGAATCTAGTACTTGTCCTTTTCTAATATAATCACATGATACATAATTATAATATGTAATTCATATATTAACATTAAGCTTGCCTTTTGTATTTTATTAGTCAATAAAGTATAAATAAATAAATATTCCAGATCCTCAGAAGCATCACCCACGAATTGACTTCCCTACCCACTACTTAAGCTTCGGTGAAACATTAAGAGCTAATTGCACCACCGCGCCTGCGCTTCCCGCCCCACACATCACGTGGTTTATTAATGGGAAAAAGGTAAGTGACATAAAAATTACTGTTCTATTTATATAATAGACTTCGAATAATTACAAAAACATATTTTGAGCTGAAATATTATTTTCAGATGGATGAACTAATTACTCATTCACACAAATTCCGTATTCCTATGAGTGAAAAAAATGGAAGGCGTGGTTTGCAAAGACCTTTCGAACAAGAAACAGTATTAAGTAGTCCACCATCCCTTCTTACTCTGACTCATGCGTCTCATATAGCAACAAAACCTCCAGGTTGCAGTCTCAAAAACCATCAGGTAAAATATCCGCACCCTATTACTTGCACATAAGTCATAGATATCTTAATATAAATTATTTGTATTCCTAGTATATTCAAATTTTATGCGTTGCTATTACTGAAATATTATTGGCATTAGATTAAAAAAGAATTATTTGCACATGTTCTAGATTGCCGAATTAAAGGACGGTCCCCACATCGTACATTCCATAAGCCGGCACAGAAGTCGCAAACCCAGTAGGGGGCGAGATTTGTACGTCACTGTATCTGAGCTACATCTCATCGCGACTGGCAGACTTGAGATCACCTGCGTCAGCACAATACCAGAATTCAGGAGTATAGAAGATAAATTCGCTGATCTCAGAAATGATACTGTCATTGGTAAGACAATACTTTCTAAATAATAATTTTCTTAAATATTTACGTATTACTACAAAACAAATAACATAGTAATAAATATATACTTAATTATAAATAATTAAAATAGGTTAAATTAAATCATGACATTTCGCAACAATTAATTATTTGTGTTTCTTTATAGAACAACATACATGTTGTAGCTATGGACGTTGCAACAATTATGCTCTAAATATTCATATACTTGAATGTCGTAAGAGCCAACTAAGGGAGGGCGAGGGATGGGTCGCAGCGTACCTCTTAAAACATCTCTAAAGCCTAACTGCGGTTGCCAATCCGCCTGCCAAACGTGACAACTACTGGCAAAATCTCCCAAGTAGGAGGCTTATGTTTCGCAGTGGACAGTTAAAAGCTGATAATGATGATGAATCATATACTTGATCTTTTTGCTTTTTCAATCAAATTAAGAAAGAAAATTAACCTCAGGATAACGTTTCAAAACCGTCACATGTATGTAACAATAAAAACATTTTCAATAAAAACAGCGAAACAAAATACAGTGAATCAATATTTTATATAATACCAATCGATTAATATGTTCCACAAAAAATTCGACTTCAATTGTAACAAAACCAGTTACTTTGATTTAAAAACCAAACTACTGAACCGAATTTGATTAAAATTTTATTGGACCAATCTGTAAGTTATATCATTTCAGATAAAAATAAGAAATATTCTAAATCAGTTTACAACTGATGGAGTTATGACGTATGAATAACAGACAAGAAAAAAATCATACAACCGAATTGGAAACCTCCTTTTTTTAAACCGATTAATAAAATTAAATATTATTACCGTCATTTACAAAATTCCATACAGTATTTGATACCTAATCTTACTAACATGCACTTACTAATATTTAAAGTGCCACATAGTCGTGTTCAATTTCCAATAGTGCGTTAACGAAAAATAATGGGCAGCCAACGCCATTAAATTCTAATTTAGAACTAACTCAATCAATACTTAAACATTTACTCGTACGTAGACTTACGAAACCGAATGGCTCTATTTACTTATCTGTCATTCTCCTTATCATGTAGGTATTGTTCAGTAGTATTTGCTAATTGCTATGGTTTATTGTTTATTCATCTTAGGGGAACATGTGGACTTGGAGAAAGCTTTAACGTACAACTCTCTTTAGTTGTACGTTAGGGAATTTTGAATATTTTACCAGTGTGTGGGCAGAAGGCAATATGCTTTTACCGTATTGATTTGATGTCAAAGCATCACGCAGTGCAGATATCTAAAGAAATGTCTTCAAAGTCTTATATAAAATTCCTGAGTCACGATGTTCGTTCACACTAAACTACGAAACTACACAAGCGATTATAATTAAATTTTGTAAATGCATATATATTATTTATTTCAAATTAAAAGATTGAATACTTTTTATCCCAATAAAAAAATGGTCCCAGTAAATATTGGTAGGGATAAAAAACGTTTTTCAGATTTTTTTATAAATTGGTGATTATGGAATGGTAACCCCGTTTGCGCTAACGGTATACGATAACAGGGCACCGGTGAGGGTGATAGTTGACAAAGAAGCAGGTTAGTTAGCCCATCGTGACGAATGCAACAATAAATCAATCACGATGTTTTCCGGAAGAAACCGCGTGGAGGTGGACCTGATAAAGTATATTTCTAGCAATGTAGTTGTTAAGCCTAGTTACTAACAGTTCTTCCTAACCCCACCTCACCTCGTTTGTTAGGTTAGCTACGTGTTATAAATATAAGTACACATAAATTAATATGTGTTTATATAAAGCTACTTTTAATGTATCTAGAGGGATGCGGGGAGTTACTAAACTTTGAAAGTAATGTGACACTATCTTTGCGAAGTCTTGGCGCGGAGGGCGCGAACCGTGATAAAATGGATAAAACCCGGTTCCAATAACCGAGATGCGAGTTTTACCCGCTCCAGAATTTATATATTTTATGGCATTTAGCTGGCAGGAGATAATTTTATCTACACTTCTGGCACTCAAATACTATTAGAGTCACAAAATTTTATTGTTGGTATTTTTGAAAAAAATTAAATAATGATTTTATTTATCTTCGAAGAGATTTAAATGGGTATTAGACATAAAATCGAAATATTAGAATTAAAATTTTAATTCCAGCAAAAGGTTCATTTTTATCTCGATTTATTTCTTGGGCTTGTAAAAATTCAGACATTATTATATACGCTTGGTCCGGCCCACCACGCCACCAACTGTCTGGATATTTTAGTGAGCATGATTTACTCAAAGCACCCAACCACATCATAGACAAATTAAAATAATTTCATATTATATACTACATAACCGTTACAGTATTCGCATATTATACAGAAAAAGGCATACGCTAATTAACAATAAAACCACTAAAGTATATAAAAGACTTAATCTCAGATTTTCTTATATTCATTTTATTTTTCAGTGGACGTCATCAGGCCATCAACGTATTCTCAACCGTCGGCCAACCTCACAGAACCAGAATCCAGTTCTTCTAATTGTAATAAATTATTAATCCCACACATATCATTATTTTTAATTCACTTTTTAATTCTAATAAATATTGCTTGATAAAATATTAATGTAGTTCTAATCTTGTGGGCTGTGATAATAACATACGTTCACACGTATGTTTGTAGTGCTTAAAATTTAAACTTAATCTCGGATGTACTTATTCTTTTAACAGTTAATTTAACAATCAACTCGAATGAAATGCTCTATCATATAGGTACATAACAACTTCTGATGAATTACTCTATATATAATACGAGTAACAATGGTTCAGTATTTCTCTGATTTGATGCAAATTTAACGAAATGAAGAGAGAAAAAAAAGTTTATTTTCGATATTCATTTAAAAATATATAAAAAGCATACTCTATACTTTATTCATGCAATCTGTATGAAATTATACCCTATATTTATAAGAATATCGATCGATGAAGTCTTTACTGTAAAAAGTAATGAGAACAATGTTTTTTTTTACAATTCAAAAATCGTTTTTTTTTTGTGGGACACAGTCTTTAATTATGAATTAAATGTTTCTTTCTTTTATGTAGTCTCCCTTAAGCTAGTTTTTCTTTACATGTCTTTTTAATTTTCATTTTAGCCATATTGGTACCTGAATCAGAAACAGTTTCATTACTAGGTATATATTATAACAGTGTATATTATTTGTATTTACACAACTTGGATGATACACAAATATATTCATTTGGTTTAAAGTAGCTATTCTATCCCAAAAATGGTTATATTAGTTCTGTATAATTGAAGAAAAAACGATCGTAATGAAACTGAGGGTAATGAATTATATTAACTCTTTTTTTAAATTATTCATCCTACAATCGTTTCTCATTAATAAAATGTACATTAAATTAAAAGAAACAAATTACGTTTATGTCACCATTTAAACAAATTTAAAACAACGGAAATTACACACATAAATCATCCACTGAATATAATGAAAAAATATTGAACCACACCTTTATTATTAATATATACCTATTTATCGTTTTACATTATTTCTAATAATACATTTCCGATATGGTTACTGTTAACTATCTCACTGAAAGGCACACATTCGATGCAGGCAGAGTACATTATAAACACACATAAAAAAGGTATTATTTACATTACAAAAGTTGCTGAAGGTAATTACAAATTTTGAGAGCAAATTTATTTTATTGTAGTGAGCGTAGACCGTAATAATATAAAATGTTATTAATGTACATTCGTATTCCTTGTTATATACTTACAGCGTCCCATTAAATAATATGCTATATAATCTTTAGCTTAAATTTTACTTTTTTACTTTGTTTCACTTGTCACGAGTACACTGAAGGTAATGAAATTAACAGATGTAAAATATTGTTTTTGTTTTGTTGTGTTTTCATTTATTAATTTAACTCCATAACTTATTTAAAAAAAATATTTGAAGATATATAGTTTAGGTTTTGTAAGTTATGTAGTTTCTTTAAAAATTTGACGGACATGTCATTTGCACCAAATCAGAGAAATAAAAAAACTATTAATTTACTTTTTGACAGTTTGTCAACCAAATTTTGTAGTGACACATAGGGTCATTTAAATGTAATGAAATTGTTTAGATTACATGTCGGACCAATGAATCGGATATACATGTCTATACTCACAATATACTGGCGAAAAATTACCTCCTTTCTCTATAGTTAATATAACCTAATAACCTATATGATAGAGTCCTAAAAATAATAAAATAGGTTGATTATGCAGTTGCATTTACCAAATAAAAATCAATCTGCAATAATATATACGTTATTGGTAAAATATTTTTTGTCCTGATAATTCAAAACCTAAGTAGTTAAATATAAATGAAAGAGATAGATTTATAAATTATTAGTTAAAATTTTAGATAGGTAAATCAAGCTTCATTTAAACTAATGACCAAAACGTAGTCAAAAATTTAAGTTAGGTACTAATATACCTAAATGGAATGAAAATATGATATTATAAAAAAATACATTATTGAGGACAGTACCAGCGGTGAATTAAATACCTATTAGATACCAAATTTTTTCATGGCCTTTATCATTTTACTAGTAGATAAAGCAACAACCTCAAATGTGTTCCATAGAATCGATCAGTCAATGGAAAAGATGTATGTTTAGTCATAAACAAATAACTTATACATGAACTATGAACATGTAATATTTTCAATTATCTGGAATGGTTTGTCAATTGATTTTTAAATATGTTTAATAGAGGATATTTTTACTTACTTTTAAATTTGAAATTCAACCAACACAAATAAATAATGCATACTTACTCGAATACTAATAGATATGACAAACTTAAATCGTATTGTATAAGATTTATGTATATACGAATTTAAGATAAATGCTTTTTAAAAATTGCCATTGTTGTGCCTAGATATTTTTGAAATCGCCAAAATAACATGACATATCATTATTGCTTCTTTGGAAATTTAAGTATCTACATATTTAAGTAATAATTAGGGACTAAAAGTAAAAATTATGTATAATAAACAAACCAAATCCCTCTCATATTTAAAAATAGGTCTTGTTTAAAGACAAATTAAGTATAAACGATAAAAAAAAATTGGTAAGTGCAAGTCAAACTTACTTCAAAGTGTTCTAAAAATTTTTCTTAGTGATTATTATATTATCATAGTGCACTTTATGTTAAAGTTAAAACTAAGTTGCTACCTTTTGTCTACTGACAATGTTAATGTAATATAGTCTTTGGTTAAAAATTCATTCAGTCATAATAATTTACTTAATATTTTTACCATTTGGGAACAAAACACTAACAATGTATTGAACACAAAGCATTAATACACGACGTCATCCCGCGTATCATGTTCTATTTATTATTTAAATTTAAATAATAATCTTGTTCTAGCTCCGCTTTACAAGAAAATGTTTATAAGGCATATACGAGTATGTATTAATTTCTTTCGAAACTTTAATCTCGTTCATACCACAATATTGGCTGGTATTACGGCAATATTGGGTGATATACAGGTGATTTTTTTTAATCAATATTCTCAACACCCTTCTAATAAAACAAATTTTGCAGTTTAAGCTTTTATTAAAATCGACTCCTGACTCCTGCGATTGCATTTTGCTATTTCTTACGTATTCATGGTACCTTCAGATAATTTGGTTGTGCTTGACAAGGTCCACATTACTATGGCAATAATCGCCATGGTTTGCCAAAATATGATAGTAAGTACATAATTTAGATGGCGAGGGAACATAATACTAATACGAACTTATCTAAACACGGACTTATATATATATACGTATACTTCTAAAATCATATATACAATTGTATTGTTGTTTTTTAATACTTTTCGAACTCTGAAGGTATTCACTTATTTTTGCCTTTCTGATAGCATATTTTTTATACCTTTACCATTAAAAATAAACTTAATATGGATATTATTATAAAACAGTTTATATCTATATTTTTAGTTATAATTATGCATAATTAGATATAGATACAGACTTAGCAGTCTTTTTTTGTATAGTTATAAATATAAATCCTTAGTATTCTTATGGTATAGTATTTAGTATAAATGTCATACGCAGGTAATCGAAATATTATAAATTGCATACAACAAATTAACAATCAAAATTTTCTCTTAACTAAAGTATTTATTTACCTATCTAAATTATAATAGTAAATATTTAATGTAAAAATAAAATATATTAAGCATCACCAGTGATACTTGACTGCCAGAATTATTGTAGTTATCATGTAACAAAATATCAAACATTACACGCCAAATACCAAAGCGCCCAATAATTACCATCTTTTTGTACTGAAATGAGGAGGCCCTTTCGCCCGTATTAAATAGCAAAAACGGTCCTAACAAAACCTTTTGTAACTCATAACTATCAAAAAATATCAATGCGCAAAGGCAAATAAAATATTTTGTTACATGAATTATTCAAATAGGAATAACTAAAATTTAAAAAAAAATGTAAATATAATTAAGTATATTATCGGGTACAAACAGCTACAAATAGGTACAGATTCAACATACGAGTTCGTTGGCCTAAAGACCAAGGTAAGGATTCATACCTTGCCTATAGGTATGCCTTTTGTACTTACAGATATTTTTTATATTTATTTAAATTCAACAGCATAGAGAAGATACCAAGTCTATATTTATTATAATGCTTATTTTACTTTTATTATTACCTTTTACATTTTCTCTAAACTTATATTCGGTAACGAACACAGTACATTCTTAAATACCTGATATCTAGTATCGTATATTTAATTATTTTTACCTATTTTGAGGCTGTCTGTACCTATCTACGAGGAGAAATGTGATTTTATTAATCAACGAAATTTCAAACAAATAGTATAATATTATCGAGATAATACTACCAAATACATATCAATAAATTGTGAGTGAATATCTAGGTTACTAAAATACATCAAGTCACGCAATGGAAATTTTCACCACTAAGTTTTTGCTACACAATTCTGTAAGTAAGCTAAGGAAAACTATAAAGCTATGTACTCGCACTCGTTCACGAATTAAAAAACACGCGGTGAAAACTTACAATACGTGTATAAACTTTTAAACAACTATTTAAGTACATTAAATTTAACAAATACGTATCTATTTATACATGAATGTTTGCCATTATTAATAATACTCGAAGCTAAATTTTATTGCAATGGTACTGGACTAAGCAGAGATGAAAATATGCCATCGATTTGAAAACAATCGGTCAAATGCAAGTTAGGCTCACATATTCAGGATTCCATTTATTTTTATTTAAATGAAAAAATATTTGAAATGGAAAAGGTATGTAGATATGAAATTAATTGATGTATACCAAGACTATTATTATAAACTCGCCGGAATAATTAAGTTTGTTTCTAAAGTTTTTTGATAATTGACTCAAAACTGTGCTTATAATATATTTACGCTAACCCACGAAACCGCTCAACTGATTTTAATGGAATTTTGTAAATGTGTTTTGTTTGAAAGGAATAAATATGTGTGAATACAAACTACTAAGCTATATACTTAGTATCACATCATAAAATTGAAGATATTAGCATATAATTAGAGAAAATTAATAAAATAAATCAGTTGCGATGACCAGAGCAAACCAGTCTATCCAGGCAGTACTCCTTCACGAGTATGATGAATAAGCAAGCCGTCATTGACCTCAACCATATTTTAAGAAACTCAATAACTCGCCCCACCACGCCACCGTCTTACCAAAGAAATCCAACTACTTCCTAGCTAAATTGAAATAATATACTACATATTTCATAACAGTCAAAGTATTCACACAATACAAAGCAAAGAGACATGCATTAATAATAAAACTGCTACATAATCTTAATTTGACAATTTTGATAGCAATACAAAATAGCAAAAACAATATTGACAGCGAAATTAAAAAATAAAAATAATTATAAAAGGTTGATTATTATCATTTATAAACTCGTCAAATCTGTAATAAGCCTTCCTTTAAAAAGACGTTTCATATAAGATGAACACGAACCTGTGAACAATGAAGACGAACCTTTTTTGGCAAGTTCAAAAGAGGCTCCGGCAGTTTATTATAAAATCTTACACAATTCCCACAGAAAGAATTACCAACTTTAACGGCATTTGCGTAATATTAGTTTACGATTACTGCGTAAACTTTTAATTGTACATCACTAACATTTTCAAAAGTGATAATATTCTTCCTTGCCTGATATTCATAAAATGTATTGGATAGCAACTATAAGGATATTTGATTCTTTAAAACGTTCTCGTATTGACCCTTTTGAAACCAAACCAAATCCATAAATCCCAAACGGGATTTATTTCTCTGTTCTATGTTTAGCATGTAATTCTTTCTATTGATACTCTAAATAAATGAAAAAAAAAAAAATAACGAATGGGCCTCTTTTGTAAAATAATTATTGTATATATACTTTAGTTGATACAAATAGCCATAAAATTCGATGTTATAGAAATAACTAAAATAAACAATTTGAGAGATATGATAATTTTTATGTCGATAAGAAAAAAGCAAAACAATATTTACCGGATTTCCAGTAGTATGTACTTATACACAGTACTCCAATCAATCAAATGGTGCGAGAGAAGCTTGATGAAATGCATCCACTATGATCCTAAAAAATCTTATAGCTTTTCTGACATTAAACAGTTACAGTAGCCCTTGAACACCTACAACACTAGAGATATCACTCACGCGTTACCGATTATATTATGCCCTTTTTGAATAACCGCTTGAAGTAGTCTCTAGGTAAAACCTCTGCAAGAAATGCTGTTTTTTTTTTATAAATCAAAAACTACACGACATAAAAAAAATTGTGACTCAGGCTAGCAGATAGGTAGGTATTATAAAAAAATAAAATAGTTTCTAAAAGTTTTCGATAAATTCACAAAAAAAAACCTTTAAAACCCAAAATTATAAGGTTCGATTTCTTAAACACCGTAATGGCAAAACAGGAAAATCTTAATCGCAATATAATTGAGGTAATCCATATATATTTTCATATTTTTTTATGTAAAAAAAGTAAAAACCTTTTTCTAGATTAATTTATATAGGGAACCTCTGGTATAAAAGTCCAACTCACACATGACCTGTAGATGCTGTTCTGTAAAGACTCACACTTCATTTCGGAAAACACTTTACTTTCACTTCGCCTAAATTTTTGTTTATGTAGTTTTTATTTTTACATCTATAAGCTTTGGAAATGATAAGTAGAGTGAATTGGGTATTGAAAACTAAAGTGAGTTCCTAAGACAAGATAACACACTTATCCCAGTTCACTATGTTACCATTTGGTTATTTGCAGAATACCAAATGTACTCGTATGATGGCTCCCGCCTAGTACTAATTTTCGCTCGCAGAGTCACTAGTGAAATTCGATTTTAACTTTACAGAATAGCGCTACTTTTTTAATAATACCATGTTATAATCTACATACTAGGTAAATATTTTATCATTGTTATAATCAAATAAATGAATAATTAGTAGGTATTTATAAAAAAAAACATCAAGTAATTGTTTTTTTTTTCATAAAATTAATGGCAAACCTACATTATCTAATTATACAAAAAATGCTGTTTGATATTAGGAATAATTAAACGTACGTTTAATTATTCCTTTAAATAAATAATTTTATGTATTACATATCAGTGAATTATATTTTATTCTTTATAGCTATTAAACTACTTAAAACGAAAATAGATTTAAGATTAAAAATTTGACATCAACAATGCATTTTTATTATTATAAATTCCTGTAAATAATGCCTATTAACCTATTAAAAGTGTGGGCACATCTAGTAGGTATTATACATTTATTACAGTGAACAAAGTATTACTATGTGAGAGACTCATAATTATCATCATAATGGTAAATATAATTGTGATTTCTCTTTTACAACCAAAAGAATAAACATATTTATAACTAATTGTAACTAAACGATTTCTATACACGTAACATATTTATATATATATATATATATATATATATATATATATATATATATATATATATGTCACCGTAAGATTGTAAACACCGTTAGATTACAATCTATCTCGCGAAATTGTAAACTGTCGAAAGATTGTGAACCGTCGCATACTGCTTACAATTTGACGTATTATTTTTCAGTAGATTATAATATATATAAGGATAATAAATATTGCTAACAATATGCCTTATCAGGTCGACCTCCATGTGGTCCCTCCTAAAAACCATTGTGTTGAATTCCAGGTGTATTCATCATGATGGGCTAACTGACCAACCTTTTCATTCTTACCCATCATTTATTACTGGTGTCCCACTAACGTAAATACCGTTAGCGCAGTCGGGGTTATTGCATTTTTATTTTAATGGATGATAATGGAATGATAACACCACCTCCGTTAACGGTATACGCTGGCAGGGCACCAATGAGAGATGATAAGTGAGGATGAAAGCAGGTCAGTTAGCCCATCGTGACGAACTCCACTAGAATCAACCAGAAGGAATCGCGTAGAGGTCGAGCTGATAGGGCGTATTGCTAGCAATTGGGGTCAGGGAAACCCGATTACCAATAATCCCTTTTCCCCAGGGTTATTGCATTATCATTCACTAATATGATCATACTTTACCTACAAGCCAATTAAAGTGCCAATACTGTAAATAAAATGTCTATTTAGGTATCTGTGCTATCATCATGCTAGCCAAGCATCTTCATATCCATATTTCATTCATGTCACATATGAAGACTTTAATTTTAACCGTTATCACGAGAAAATGGTTGCGTAAACTTCATCACATTTTTATAATTGATTACCTAGGTACCTATCTGTTGAGCAAAAAATGAGCATGATGACCTACCACAAATGAATAGAACCGTAGACCATGACCAAGGACCATTTTTAACAGAATCGGCGAACACATCATGAAACAAATTGATATTGTATAAAGTTGTGAAAACGTATAGATCTCCTTAATTGGATGATTAAATTGACAACATGATCAACACGCAGCTTTTGAATGTAGAAATACAAAATTTTGCACAGAGATTCACTAAGGATTGCTTAGGATAAGGAATATGTCACGGCTTCAGACAAGCGAAGGGATCGGAAACAAAATCCCGTATGACGTGTTCGTTCACGTTAATCTCCAAAACCGCTAACCTGATTTTAATGATTTTTTAAAATGTGCACTTAAGTTGGAGCAAATATGCTCCAGCTTAAGATATAGGATAGTTTTTATTTTAACAAGAAAAAATGGATTCCGTTAAAAGGATTGTTAGTAATGGAGACTGAGAATCCTATTGCTAGCAACCCAACCGGGTCGACCTCCTCACGGTTCTCCCTGGAAACTATCATGATTAATTCCTGATGAATTCATCATGATGGGCTAACGGGCCTGTTTTCATTTTCATCTATCACCCTTCACTGATGCTCCGCCAGCGTATCCCGTCAATGCAGACGGGGTTACCATACCATTTTCACCCATCAAAAAAAATGGATTCCGTTAGCGACCGTATGGAGCAAAACATTTACCTTATTCAGCAATTCTGTGATAGTATAAAGAAATAAAATTGATTGGTTGTTTGTTTCTAATAGATAAACTCAAAACTAATCAACTGATTTTTTAAATTCTTACACCTATAGTAAGCTACATTATCAGCGAATAACATAGACTATACATTACTTTCGAAAATTCAATCTACCCGTGCGAAGCCGGACCGTCCACTAGTCTGTCATAATTTCATATTCCTAATACTTATGTTGAGAAGGGTGATAATATAAAAATGTTGATGTTAAAATAAGAAAAAATATGTTATATCCATTTAGTGAAGTATATGGATGAAAAAATAAACAGATATACTTACCAAAAGACACACCAAACTCGTAGACTGCAAAGATATAGATAAACCATAAAAATAATTTCTCATTCTCATGCCTACTCTATTTATCATCACTGAAATCCTGAATCATTGGAAATATAAGCATTAGATGTTTGAGGTGATTTATAAAACTGTACTTGTATTATCATATGCAGGTATTTAACAAAAGCAAAGGGTAAAGATAAAAGTAAGTATAAATAATTCTTTATATAATATTTATTTGAAATAACAAATATTTTCATTATTTTGAGAAATAATTATAATAAAATTTTAAAATAAAAACATTTATTACACTAATTATAGATACACTGTGCAGAAATGTAAACCAAATTCAGCAAAGTTGGTGCGACTGGCATCTTTCGATCAATACAAACATTTACATAAGTACTAGATTTATATTTGTAATCGACTTAAAGAATCTCGAACTGTCTTGAAAAATTCTTAATTTTATAATTGACAAGATATGATGCTTATGGCGGTGTTACTAGAACCGAAACATTTCTTTCCAGAACTAATACAGGTACTTAGATACTTACATAATAATACAATTTATTTATAACATAACAACAAAAGCGCAATAGGTACGTAAATATATTTCAACAAATTTGAAAATCACAGACAAACATATATCTATAATACAATTATACATTGTCACCATTTGCGAACACTAGGAATTAAGTAATTAAACAGAAAAGAAACTTTTAGCAATCTAAACTTTTGCCAAAATTGTTTCGCGTCGGGTATTTGCACAAATATGTACCTCATTGCAATACGTTTCTATATTAATATACATCCCGTCAGTTGTCACAGACATTTAATTCAACTTTGATAAATAACCTCTAAGAGGATTCATTCGAATTAACTAAAAAAAACAAGCGTATTTGTGCGGTACAAAATCGTAGGTACAAAAATGTATTGTCCTTTATATTAACAAGATCGCCTAAATTTTATTATCTTACCTGCCTGCAGTATAATTAGTAGGTTACAATACTGTTTTTTAATTATGCTCTAAAATGTAGGCTAAATGTTGACCTCGAAATCATCTTCGTGCAATTTTTAAGTTACTGTTTTATAATCTGAATTTTTAACTCCCCACCGCAAAAGAATTTATAAGTTTAGTCTTTTTCTCGGCATATCTGTGAAATCATATACTCTATTTTACTAAACTAGGTGTTTTTACGGAAGTCCATATCACTTGTTCATCGATTATTTTGTTTAATTCTGCTAGCATTACTATACGTGCGACTGCCAACATTTGAAGATTGACTACTGTTATTATTAGTAGAACGCCTTCCTTATTAGTACTCAATCTCCGAATGTAATTCAGTCGGAGGCTAGGCTCCAATTAGCGCATATTATTAATTTACCATAAAAAGCCTCGTTTAGAGATGAAACAAGTGTCGCATGATTTTAATCGAATTGGAATTGTCATTCTGTCTTGGTGTTATACTTTGCCCCTTGAGAGCAATGTATACATGATACAAATCGATAGTAAATATATGTATACAGGTATACACATGCTTAAGAAATTATAATTTGGGATAACGTTCCGTCTACCTATACATATTATAAATTGTATTGAAAACTATTGTAGATATTTATATCTTACAAAATAGATAAAATTTATAGTTAGACATAAAAAATAAGAATTAAAAAAATTCAATCATATAAAAATTTAAATTTAATAATGATATTTTAACTATTATTAAGAAAATACAGAAAGCTTCTTAGACCACTCAATAACAGATGTGCACAACGCACTTTTTTGGTTCCTTTTTTTGTATATTAAAAAGTAAATTTTTTACTTGTTTTGTCATATTTTGTTCACTTCTTTTTATGTTTATATACATATGTATATATCACCTTCCTAAACACCATGTTTCCATACCAGCTTAGCTTCGCTCGCATTTTTGGTCCTTTGAAAAAACATTTTTTAATATTTTATTTTTGGTAATAATACTCTCCGCAAACATTTTGTTCCTGCCTAAAATCTCCGATTTTATACCTACACTAAAATAAATAACTACATTCTAAACTTCATATATTTTTATATAGTCCACCTAGCGATAATAAAAGATTTAGCATCGTATTACCTTTATAGTACCGTTATACTAAAGAGCAATGTAAATATAAAAGTTTGCGATGTACAGAATAAAATTCCAATTTCAATAAAAAAAAAGCTTCGTTAAAGTTAAACAAAAAATATTATAGTAGAGCATCTTTCTTTTTATTTAGCTTCTTTTAACTTCAATAAAAATATATAAAAAGCATCCAAGCCCAACATTATAAGTATGTACTGATAAATTGGTATCAAATTATTTTAGACCCACTTAATAAATCTGTCTTTTAATAAAAAATATTTTCTTTAATATTTTTTATCTACAACAAATATAATGACTTTATCATGCTTTGTTACATTACATTTATATTAAATTATATTTAATTACATTTATATTAAATGTGCCTGTTATAGTAAATAGTTGTAATAAAGAGTAATTCCATGTTCTATACAGTAAATAAAACCACAATTTCTAGAAATAATTAATACAAAGTTTTGACTGCCATAGTCATATTACTTTTTTATGACTAGCTGTTGACAGCGACTTTCCGTCGTTTTTCGTAAAATAAATAGCCTATGTCCTTTCTCACGGTTCAGTGGTTTTGATGTAACAGACACATTTCCCTTTACTGCTCTGCTCCTTTTGATCGTAGCTTGATAAAAAGTATACTATAACCTGCCCAGGAGTATGTAAAATAATTGTACCAAGTTTCGTTAAAATCCGTCGAGTAACAAGTAACGAACATACAGATAGACAGACAAAAATTTTACTGATTGCATTTTTGGCATCAGTATTGATCAGTAATCACCCCCTGATAGTTATTTTGAAAATATATCTCATGTACAGAATTGACCTCTCTACAGATTTATTATAAGTATAGATTACATAAGACTTTGGTTATCTAGTTTTTATAACACAGTCTAAAAAATACATAATGGAATATACATAAAAACACGTCACAGTACTATTTATATTAGATTTATAAATGACAGACAATACATTAATATTTTAATTTTAGATATATATATTAATAAATAAATACCTATTGATAATAAGTAATAAAAAAATATCACAATATAAACAGCTTTATAATACATATAGATAAAGTAGCGTGGAAGAAGGAATAATTAATGAAATACATAATTCCATAAGCAGTTCTTTCGCATTAATTTATGATTCCTAATACCTTTTCAAAACAAAAATTAGGCGGACAATTGCATTTTAACAATGTAATAATTTAGAAATCTATACATTTCAAAGGTGATTGCCATTGCATTAGTATTTGTTATTTTGACAAAATAATTCCATGCTAATTGTAATACCAAACTATATTGTGTACATAGTATACATATACAATTACATTACGCTATCCACCTTATTCATAAAAATGCCTAATGTCTCATAAACCTATTTTATTTATTGAAGTGTTTGTCTTTTTAGTTTACGCCGAAATTGCGATTTGAAAGCGATAAAACACGCCAATAATTAAAATCGGTTTGTTGTTAGTTTTAATTTTTACAAATAAGGAGAGAAATACCAGAAATACCAGAAGATAAGAGCCACTGATAAAAATGTTACTTGCTATTAAAATAAACAGGAAAACATCAAAGTCAACAAGCATGAAGAGCAGTATTGCCTACTTTGTGTTTTTATATTCAAGTCTCATCTATAAGTTTGAAGAAACTGCTAAATTTACTGTACTTTATTATCTAGCTGCTGGACTATTTGGTGGGAAACTACTTTCGTGGCAATGGAAGCATTAGGAATAAGGAACCTATCCATATCTTTTATTAACAAATTATCACCATCTGGGATACCATATTTAAAAGTTATTAATTCTGGATGCCTCTTTTTAGCTGTAATTTTAACAATTGTTGATAGTGGTCTTCTTGACATTACTCGTGCAATACCCTTTTTATTTGGGATATCACGCAAAACAACTAAATGTGTTTCTGTGACTATGAGATAAGAATCATGCATATAACCATTTACTAAGACTTCTTGACATGGAAATTTGTCAATGACTTTGTGTTCTTTCAAAAAGGAATTGACATCTATAAATTCTTCCAATAAATCAACATCAGTGCCATCACGTTTCATTTCTGATCGAGAATCATCATCTTCATCATTAATGCTGAATACTGGAGGTACATTTCTATACCTTTGTTCTTTTTTATCATTAGCTGAAACATGCCATTCACCACTACTTACTGTTGAATTTGGGTTCACAATGTACTCAATAAGTTTTCCCTTGACCTCTTGACTTTTTGCCTTCATTGCTGATGACAATTTACTAAACAGTTGTATGGCAGGTATATTATCTCGCACAGTAGCCTGACGTAATTCTGAACTACTATTATTATTATTTGGAGCACACACTAAGCATGTGGAAGGACTATGTTCTTCTAAGCAATCAGTCATATGAGGACCAAAGTAATCATGAATGGCCACAAAGCCTCCATCAAGCATAGAAACATGCTTTGTATTACGTTTCAAAAATGAAGCAACAACCATATGTGCATAACTATCTTCTTCAGTCCTGCCAGATCCTACAAAACACAGATGTTCGCCAGCTGCAAGTGAGCCTGCAGCCAAAGCTTGGCGCTGAGCATTCAATAAACCTTGAACAGCTGTATTAAAAGCATTGGGCTCTTGTAACATTAAATTACAGTCTAAATGGAATGCAGTAGATAAATGTCCAGAATTATATTGCTCTGCAGGTCTACAATCTACCAAAAAAAATTTTACATTGTCTGCATCTGTAGCATCCACTGTGGCACTCTCAATTAACTCATGCACAGCAACAGGAAGACACAAAGCTTGTGAATAAAGTTTTGAATTAATTTCTAAACCACTTTCTGAAAATAATACTTCTAACACATCTTCTCTAAAAGAAAGGGGGGTTTTCAAAGAATAATAATGAGCTAATGAACAGAAATCTGATACATCATTTGCTTCTAAGTCAGCAGGCATTTTGCTAAGAGTTTGAATTATAGTTATCTTATCTTCATTTTTCATTTGCAATAATTGTTCTCTTGTATTAATTATCATAATAAGGCAAAGAAAGAATATGAAAAATGGGTCTGATCTCTGGAAATATAAATCCCACATAAAAAGGACAACTTCTATATTACAGGTGCCTGCAAACAGAGATCTTAACCATGGTAGGCAATACTGCTCAGGAGTTATTCTTTTAGTATCTAAAAATGAACAAAGTTCAGGATCATGATATTGTAATACCAATCTCAATATGTGAAATGGTACACCATTTTTGGTGCATCCTTTTGGTATGTATAATTGTATAATTTTTTCAAACAAATTATATGTATCAGATTTTGGTAATTTTAAGCTTAACAATGGCAATAAAATTTCAATCCAACCATTACTTGAACTGTAATGAATACCTTTTGATTTACAATAAAATGTGATTATGGACTCAATATCTGAAATAACAGATAGTTTCTCATCTTCATCATTGTCCAATCCCTTAACAAATTTCTTTACATCATCTCTAAGTAAAGTTTGATTGGTCAAATCAAAAATTTCGTCAAATGATAACATCTGGTTACCTGCATCTTGACAACCTAAACAAAGAAGCCAGACGTCTGGGCGCAAGCTCTCTGGAATTTTCTTTCCTTTTGTAAGAACATTTATTTCTTGTGCTGTACAGCCATCCAAAAGAGCAGATTCTAATTCAATTAACCTGAAATTGTAATAAATTGGATTTACAATAACTACTGACCTAATCAGTCTAAGTTATCATAGATAACTATTAGAGTTAAGATTAATTTTAAACTTATGAAGTCATCAAATTAATTTCTCTCCATATTAGGTATACGATTAAAAGTAAAAAAATAAGTTATTGAAGCATTAATAGTAAAACACCTTTAATCGAACAAAACCCACCATGTATTATCTTCTTCTTCAGCAGCCATTTGAACAAAAATGTTTTCAGGAAAACAAACGTAGGTAAGTATTATAGTATTACTCAATACCTACAAATTTTCACAGCAGGCCTGAAGTTTTGTATTGACAGGTTAATACACCTGAAAATATATGAATATTATTGATGCACATTAAAGAAAAACAAAGTTAAGAAATTAATTCACATCCAGACAAATGGTAGAAATTTGACATTCCTTTTTTTTTTTTTTTCTTTTTTTGTGGCGTTCACCCCGATATTAGGGTATTTTGCCAAGAACAAAACGGGGAAACGATAATAGTAATAAAAATACCTAACACAAACGAATTTAGAAAGGATAAGGATTAGGTCTAGGATATTTATAGGATATGAAGGATATACTTGTACATATGAGAATATACTTATAAATATATAGGAAAAGCAATTGATGCAACTATAAATGTATTCATGTAATATAACTAAATCTTAATATTGTTATCATATATATATGAAGATAGTATTTTATAGATAATAGGATCATTGGAAGAAAGTAGAGTAAGAATAGAAGTTGGGAATGGAACACGGATGGATCGGAGATGATTAAAAAGGGAGGTGTGGTCAAATTTAGAACATGAGAAGAATATATGATTCAAGTCCGCCACTTCAGCACCGCAATTACACGACGAACTTTGTACAATACCAAGCTTGTATAAATGAGAAGGTGTGCATACGTGACCTAGACGCATACGAGTTATAATAGTTGTTGCGGTCTTTCCAAGCTTTAATTTACAAAACCATGGTTTGAAAGGAATATCGGGTTGTATAAGGCGATAAAATCTTCCTTTTATTGTACTTGTTTTTTCCCAATATTCCTTCCAGGCATACCTTAAATATATTTTTGGGAGACAAGCTAGGTCACTACAGTAATTATGATACGGATACATATCACCACAAGTTACAGCCTCTCTTGCAATAAGGTCAGCTTTGTCATTGCCGCTAATACCACTGTGTCCTGGTAACCAGGCAAAAGAAACGGAATAACCTCTCAACATGCAAAGATAAAGACTTTGTCTTATGTCACAAATAATGGGATAAACTGGTTTTGATTTAAACGGATATTTGGCTAGAGCTTGCAAAGAGCTCATAGAGTCAGTGAAAACTATTGCCTTATGTAATTTCATTAAAAGTATATATTCTACAGCTTTTAAAATACCATAACATTCCCCGGTAAAAACTGAAGACTCCGGTGGAAGTTTAATTTTTTGAACGATATTAAATTGTGAATGAAACACACCCACACCTACACAACCGCTATTGTCTGGTTTTGATGCATCAGTAAAGATGTAGTGCCATTCATTCCATTCAATGTCAGTTATAAACATAAATTTGGCATTCAATTCTGAATCATTTTTTAATAACCCAAAATCATATTTAATATTAGGAGATAAAACTAAAGATTGATATGAGCATTTATAAATGGGAAAACAGGACGATGTAAAAGTGGGAGATTCTATGGATTTATATTTTTCATAACTTTGTATTAAACATGGAGGTTTTTTATGTTTCCAATAAGATGAAGACGAAATAAAGATATGTAGTTGAGATAACTTTTGAATAAGCGGATGATCAGATAATTGTAAACAACGAAAAAAGAAGCGATCAGATAGATATTGTCTTCTTAAAACCAAAGGTGGATCACCGACTTCGAGCTGTAAAGCATTGATTGGACTTGATTTCATTGCTCCAGAGATAATCCTCAAGGCCTTTGATTGAATTAAATCCAATTTCTTAAAAGCAAATGAACTTCCTGGAGCTAACAAAAAAGTTCCATAATCAATGACACTCCTTATAAGACCATTATAAGCAAGTTTTAGTGAAACGGGATGTGCTCCCCACCAAACTCCAGCAAGGCACCTAAGAATGTTGAGGTTACGCTCACATTTCGTAGAAATATAATTACAGTGGGACAGACCTGTTAATTTATTATCTAGCACGATACCTAAAAATTTAATTTCAGTCTTTATAGGAATGTATGAGTTATCATAAAGCACCTTAATTTGTTGCGGTGATCTCATTCTTGAAAACAAAACTACACTACTCTTGGTTACAGAAAGATTAAGACCATTTGCATCTAACCACGTTTTTAACAAATCTAATGAATCAGATAATTTGGCAGAAGCAGATTCTATGGACTTCGTAATAAAATATAATAAAAGATCATCAGCATATTGTAAAATTTTGACGGATTTATCAAGGAATAATTCTAGATCGTATGTGTATATGTTAAATAAGATTGGACTGAGAACAGATCCTTGTGGAAGGCCTTTCCATACTGTTCTAGATAATTTGGTATCTTCATCTAAATTCATATATATTGTTCGTTCTGATAAAATATTAATAATGAAATTATAAAGCATTACCGGTACATTTAGAGCTTGTAATTTAGTTTTTAAAATAGAAATTATTACATTATCATAGGCAGAATTTATATCTAAAAAGGCTGAGAGGATTGACAAATTTTGTGAGAAAGCTATATGAATATCTGAAATAAGAATGCTCACATTATCTAAGGTGCTCTTACCTTTCCTAAAACCAAACTGGTTCGGGGATAGTAAGTTATTACTTTCTAAAAACCATTCTAGACGGTTTTTCACTAAATGTTCAGCTAGCTTTAGTAAGACAGAGGAAAGTGCAACAGGACGGTATGAAGATGGTTCAGAAGGTGGTTTATGAGGCTTTAGAAATGGTATAATAATCTGAGACTTCCATGAAGTAGGTATATTTCCCGAAATAATTATGGAATTAATTATATTTAAAAAGTAAATTAATGTCGCATCGCTAGCATTTTTAAAAAAGGAATACGGTATACCGTCTTCTCCCGGTGCAGAGTCTTTAATAGAAGCTAGAACACCTTTAAGTTCTACTAGAGTAAAAGGAGAGTCAAGTTCGAATAATTCGTCAGAGACGGATAGAGAAATATTGTAAAGGCATTCCGGCACATAACTAGGAGCAAGGCGATCTAAAAATTTATTCGCTAAAGTTAAATCGAGTGCAGAACGTGATGTATGATCACTAAAGGCAGATCTGAATCTTTTAATATTATTCCAAACGACTGATGAATTAACTTCTGGACAGATAGAAGAACAAAATCTTCTCCAGCCTTCTAATTTCTTTTTTTTCAGTAGTTTTCGAGTAGAACATGAAACTGCGGTGTAAATTTCAAAATTTTCTGGTGTCATGTAATTATTATAATTTTTTTCAGCCTCTTTACGATTTTTAATTGCTTCCGTACAATCTTTGTCCCACCAAGGTGGCGAGGGAATTTTCCCTGAAGCACTATTTTTAACAGGAAATAATAAATCAGCAACCTCCTTCATATTTATCATCAAGTCATTACAACATTGATGTTCATTTCCATGGTAAACAATAGGTAACTCCGATATTTTATTATCTAAATATTGTTTGTAAATATTCCAGTCTACATTTGATAAATTATATTTAAGCCGAGGACCACTCTTTCGACTTGAGGGAATGGAAATTGGAAAAGAAAGAATGAGGGGAAAGTGATCGCTTCCGAAAGTAGAGGAATGAGGATACCACGACAGTGAAGAAGCTAAATCAGAAGAACATATTGAAATGTCAGGAGCACTAAACCCTTCATTCGGTGCAGTTCTACGTGTTGGTACATCTGAGTTAATAATACATAAGTTGTAAGTGTCAATTATCGTCAGGAGTTTTCCACCATAAAAATTAGAAGTAGAACTGCCCCACGATTGGTGTTGAGCATTAAAATCGCCCATTACGAGAAAAGGTTTAGGTAAAATTGAAAATAATTGTTCTAGTTGTGAATATATTTGGCATGTAGGATCAGGAATATATAAAGTAACAAAACAGATACCATTTATAATTATAGCAGCTGCATTAATGCCGCTATATACAGGAAGCGAAAAAGAAGAAAAAGGAAGGGAGTTTTTGACCAATATGGCAACACCGCCATATCCGTCAGCTCTATCATCACGGAGACTTGTAAAGCCTGAAATCCTAAAAGGATATCCTGGCTTTAACCAAGTCTCTTGGAGAGCTATTATAAAAGGATTATATTTATTAATCAAATAAAATAAGTCTGATTTCTTGTTTGTTATGCTACGACAGTTCCACTGAATTATTAGGACTTTGTAATCCATTGTGAGAAGTTAATAATTGAGAAAATACATTGTAAATGGCATCGTTGGACGGTGGTAAAGTTGTTTGTATCATTTTCGATTGCGATAACACTTTAATAAGCATGAGAATAATATCAAAGATGGATTGATTATTGTCAATATTATTTGATGATAATGCACAACCATTAGAGGGAGCAGGAATATTATATTCCTTAACTATGGCTTCATGGGCAGAACGATCATATCCTTGTTGTGCTTTTTGAGGAGAGCGTGGTTTAAGTGTAACTGTTTTTTTATATGATGCTTGAATATGTGGTAATGATGATTTCTCTTTGAGGAAAGAAGATTGAAAATGAGATTTATTGGACGGAGATGATGATGTTAATACATCTGAATATAGTTTAGAAGTGGGAGGATGAAATTTTGATGCTTCAGCATAAGAAACACAACTGTGGGCCATTGTTTCTTTAATGGCCTTCTGACGTGCATATTCAGGACATTTCTTACTAATTGCTGAATGAGAACCATTACACAAGATACAAGAAACATTTTCCTCATCTACTTCACATTTATCACCTGTATGATTTTGCCTGCATTTATAACACCGAGGATTTGAACGACACTGCATCTTGACATGTCCGAACCTACAGCAGTTATAGCATTGGATAGTGGGGTAAATGTACAAATCTACAGTTAATGATGTGTAAAACATAAATACTCTTTTTGGTAATATTTGTCCATCAAAAGTAATAACAATGGTTTCAGTATTAATAAAACTTGGTTGTCCTTCATTAATGGTCTTTTTCTTAATTCTTCTGGTTTTTAGAATTCTCCCACAACCTATAGGTACTGATATATTTTGGATTACTTCCTCTTCTGTCCAATCTTTAGGAATACCCCTCACAATTCCCATACGGGTTACATGGAAAGAAGGTATAAATGCCTTAAAATTATGTGTTTCTAAGTGACTATTATTTAAAATTGCATTTGCATTTTCAAAATTTGAGAAAGAAAGCGATAAACGGTTTCTTCCTATTCTTTTGAGGCTACCATTCACTATATTATTTATCTTATTAGTGTGTAAAAAGCGACCAAATGCAATAGGATGTAATGTAGTGTTATCATTAGGATGTGTTTCATTTTTTTGTACATGAACGACATAAGGAGCTACATCCTCGGCATTGTACAAAGTTCTGCTTAAAGTACTGGGTGGAGAAGCAGGTTTAACAGACTCAGTATTATTTACAACTGGTATTGATACTAGAGTTTGATTCTCATCCTCAATACATTGACAATCACTATCTTTAATTTTAGATTCGAGACCTTTGGTGTGCCTCCTTCGTTTTTTATTGCAATGTTTGCAAATGCGACGTTCGCCACGTACTCGCTTACGTTTAGAACTTGCAACGCTAGAACCATCTGTGTCCATACTAGATTCATCCAATATATCAAAACTATTATTAAATGGGATAGTTATATTTGCAGACACCTGAGGGGTTGTCCCCCCAGGGTCTATAGGTGGATCCATAATGTCTAATTAATATAGGTAATTTACTTACCAATATTTACAGCAACAAACACTATTACTACAAAATATACAATTATATATACAATCTAATACACAATATATAAATAAGACTAATCCTTATATAATTAAAAATAAAATTAATTTAAAGAAGATCAAAAAACACTCCCGCTTTTTTAAACGTTTCCCGCGCTTTTTTCGACATTCCTTTTTATAATGACGTGATATATCATAGAAAAAGGATAGCAGATACACAGATTAGAAAGCCTATGATGGACTGTGTAATATAGGTTAGTAGTACCATAGACATATAATACTGAATTCATTCATTATTATGTATGTGTTAGTCTCGAATCTGTGGTTACGTGTGTTCTAAGTAATCTGTAAGTTTATGTATACATTGCCAGATCCGGGATTTCTTTCGTAATTTTAGTTAAATATTTTTTTGATAATAAAAAAATAAAGCGAAATTTAAAAAAGATATAAAATTTTTGGAGAAAAAATATTATATTTTTTATACATTTTAAAGTCTACCGTTTTACCCCAAGAGGGGGGAGGCTTCCCATGCCTTGTCATTCTTAAGGACTAAGATGTTATCCCTCTGCACCCTGTAAATTGAAAGCGTCTAGAAAATTCTGGTTATTTTTTATTTTTTTTATTTTGGTACTTATAAACTATATTGAGGTATATAAATACAATAAAATATATGAATGGAAGTAGCAAAACAGAAAATGAGATAAAGGTAGGAAAGGATATAATAAGTTAATGATAGGAACGGAAAGAATTTATTTTCAACATTCACTTTATGGCAAAATGTTCACTATATTTTGCCATCTGACCAAATAACTAATTCAATAAAATTTCTGGAAACCGTATCGATTTAAAGAAAAAATATTTTACCTTTGGGTAAAAATCAAAATTCGCATCTAACAACCCTGACGTGTTTTGTGGCCTTCTTGTCTTTATTGCATCCATAGGCGATTCAATTTAAATAATATTAATTGCAACTTTTATTTTTTATATAAAATAAATAATATTAATCTAAGTTCTTTACGAAAAGTTTACACTATTTTTAAATATTTAATATATATATGTAATATATTCTAATATGTTCTGTGTAATTCTAATCAATAGTTCATAATAGTAGTCGGCCCGATGTATTTCTGTATTTCCTATAATATATTTTCTAACAAATAGGTTTTTTACTAAAATCTAGTGACCCTTGTGATCACTATATCTGTGACAATGAACGAATTTTATAATTTGTTTCCCAATAAACAAGGCTTTATCACTTTTGCATTGTATATTATACTATTTGTCTTTCAAGGTGGGTGTTGGTCTTTTATAGATATTTAAAATAGATATTATCTTATATTGAAAATCAGAATTCTCTCCTTATTATTTTGTTGTACTTCATATGTAAATAAAATAACCTATTCTATATACTCTACCTCTTTTTTTACTTCTAGTATCCTTAACACTTTTTTTCTACCAGTGTATACTGATAGCACATACATGCTTATTATTCCATTTCCATGACACATTTTTTTTTTACATTATAAATGTTTTACAATATATGCCATTTATATGGTACTTACAGTTTATTATTTTTAGTTATTTTTAATACTACTTTCATTACTTTTCTGACATACTTTCTTTTTTATACATAAAAAGCATTGTTTTTATTATTTAATTAAATAGATTTAAATGTTAAACAATATATTTAAATTTATTGTATTAAAGAATATGATTTTCAAAACATAAATAATTATAATATCTTAAAATTATGTATCTCTCATCATAAAGATTATATGTTAGCTATACTATGTAAAAACTTGTGTGACAAATGCCATGTGGTTCTTGCATAGAATGGGCCACTAATTCCTTTTCTGTGGCTGTCGTAAGAAGTGGGTATGGAAAATTAACAGTCAAGGGAAGAGCAACAAAAGCCCTCTTAAAACATTCTCAAAGACTAACTGCGGTAGCCAATTTGCCTGCCAAGTGTGGCAGCTACTGGCAAGGCTCTTCTTATGGAGAAGGCCTACATTAAACAGCTGATATAATAATAATAAATAGGGTGGAAAGGGATTGTTAGTAATGGAGACTGAGAATCCCATTGCTAGCAATATACCCAACCAGATCGACCTCCTCTCGGTTCCCTCTGGAAACTATCATGGTTCATTCCTGATGAATTCATCATGATGGGCTAACTGGCCTGTTTTCATTCTCATCAAACACCCTTCACTGGTGCTCTGCCAGCATGTCCCATTAGCACGGGTGGTGTTACCATTCCATTTTCACCCATAAAAAAATAATAATAAATATACAGACTTATTTTAAATTTCACACATTTCATTTTTTTTTTCTTATGTTTTCGTATGTAGACTCATAAGGTCCAAGCCTATGATGTCAGTGTTTATATTTGTATTTTTATTATTTAATGAAATAATAAAATTGTATTTTACAGGGGTAATTGTGACTGCATCAAAAACTGAAAATGGTGGATATGATTATAACACCACTCTTGTTGTATTCCTGTCTGAATTACTCAAATTGGTGGCATCAACTGTCCTTTATTCATATAGAAGAGAGTAAGTAATTTTTTAATGATGTTTAACATCATTAAAAAAAATAGTCATAAAAAAATATAAAAAATTTATTTAAATAAGTATTTAGGTACTCATGAAATGAATGAATGAAGTACTTAGTAGTTATGAATATTGTCTTAGTAATATTAGGATAATGTAAATGGTTTTTTTTTTTTTGCACTATAAATATCAATTCTCTTAAAATTGTTATAAATAGAGTTTATTAAATAGTGCCTACTTTAAAATCTTTTTGTAAGTACTTATCAAACCAGAATTACCTATATTTTACAATCAGTAAGTGAGTCATTGACATGATATTGCTAAATACCACTACCCATACTATCTAAACAAATATAGAAATTATAGTTTTAATCTTTAGTCTGTTTTAATAGAACTTACTAAAAAGTAAACAAATAAAAAAATTACTCAACCAAAGTGCTGAAGCTCAGCAATAGTAAAATAGAAAATATATAATTTAATTAAATATTTTGATTTGTTTTATAATTTCATTTAGAGAGTGTTTCTGTGATAATTCTACGAAATCTTGGTTGTTAAGATCTTTGTTTATTAAGATCTATTGAAACAGATCTACTGCTGTATATATTACACAGCACCATCCAGAAGTAAGTAATGCATATCATAGTACAAGTACTATGAATATGAGTCAACAAAAAGATCTCCATAATTTTTTTTATGCAAGTTAAAATGGCAAACAAGCTCATCCACCTCATGAAAAGTGGTGACCATCAGTTATAGATATGAATAGTGCCATGGACATAACAGAGTATACTGTTTCTACCATGATACCGCCTATACATTTCCTACATGACACTCCTTAGTCCTCAGGAATAGCAACACATTCCTGAGAACTAAGGAGTTATGTTTTTGTACCCTGTAGCATACTCTTTAAACTGAAACACAACCATGCAAATACAAGTGGACTAGACCCTTTAGACAAGTGACAAGCGAATTCGTCGATGGAATCGACATCGCTAGCGAGTCCGTGAGACAGAATGAGATAGCAACGCCGAATGACTCATAAAAATTAATACAAATGTTTCTATTGAGAGTGGAATCTATAGACATGGCAATGTAATGAATTAAATACTATGTGTATATTCTTGTCATAATTTGAATATATAATACGCTAATTATAGTCATTACACTAATAATTTCTAAAGTACTTTATAAATTGTTGCTCTCTCTCATCATTTGTATAACAACTTATCAAATCCTATGATAAAAAAAAAATTGAAAGTGTTTTTTCAAATATATTTCATTATAATCATCATATCAGTCGTTAATTGTCTACTGCTAAACATAGGCCTCCCCTATTGAGGGGCATTGCCAGTAATTACCATGCGGGGCAGGCAGGTTGGTAACCACAGTTAGGCTTTAATGACATTTTAAGGGGAATGCTGCTGGCCATCTCACAACCACTAAATTCCCTTAGTCGGCTCTTACGAAAGTATGTCCCTTGGGAAAGGAATAGGGAGCCCATTCTATGCCGGGATCACATGACTACTATAGTATATGTATATAAAGATTATGATTTCTATTATTATTAACTTATATTTGTAATATTATTTCAGAAACAAGCCTCAAATTTTCATGGCAATTGTCATAAATTATAAACTGCTATTGTTATATTTTATACCGTCTTTATTGTATTGTTTCTACAACAATTTGGCATTTATTAATTTGTCACATTATGACCCAACATCATACTACATTTTACTTCAATTCAGAGTTGTCTTAACAGCTTTAATATTCCAGGTAAGAGTAATCTTATATTAATCCTCTTTAAATTAATATATAAGTAGTCATTTGACATCAAAAATATACAATTAAACCTCTGTTCTTTTTTTTAAGTAATTTAATAAGTTTTTAAACAAATTTATAGAAGTTCCACTACTCCTTTATTTGTGAAATAATTCCATGAAGTTATTATCTCTTATTTGCAGATCCTATTCCAAAAGAAGCTTACTTTTATTCAATGGATATCACTGGGAGTCCTAACTTTTGGATGTATATTAAAAAACTTTGATGCTGCATCTGTCCAGTCAAAAGGAGACACTGATTTTTTGTCTCAAATATTTAGTATTTATTTTGTTTCTATTAATTTTCAAAACTTTTGTTCTTGTCTAGCAGGAACATATAATGAATATTTAATGAAAACAAAAGGTTCTGATGTAGATATATTTCTACAAAATGTTTTTATGTACCTTGATTCTGTCATATGTAACTTTTTTATTCTGATGTTTAAAGGGGAGTTGGGTGACGTCTTTGAAGATTTTCAATCTTTAGGTGATATATATGTGATATTAATTATAATAAATAGTGCAGTAGTTGGTATTGTGACCAGCTTCTTTTTAAAGAATCTTAATTCAATTTTGAAAACTTATGCCAGTGCATTAGAATTAATTATAACCGCCGTTGTATGTTATATATTATTTAGTATACCTATTACAAGGTATACAATAACGTCAATCTGTTTAGTCATAATTGCAGTAGCAATGTATTTCAAAAATCCTGTAAATAATACTGTTGTACCAAGTGTTTCAGATGTCAGAGACAAAAAACCTCTTTTGGAAGTTACTACTTATAAATAAAAAGTATTTATAACTTAGTTAGATTAATAGGTTTCATATAAATTCAATTCCTAAGTATTCGTAGTTAAAACAAACTCAAATTGTATTTAAAATAAAATTATATTGTTTATATTTTTAAGTAATAACAGTAAGCTTACTCTCTTATTAATAAAAACGTCAAACCTCTCATTTATTTCCAAAAGTGACATAACAGTCTAATAATTAAAGTAGCTTAGTAAAACATTTTAGTTTTTATGAATCAGGGAGTTAGTTTATTATTTGTAAGTATTGCTTTAGAACTTAGATACCCACTTATTTCTATTTCGTCCTACGGCCTTAGTCACTGTATTTTATTTTAATCTAAAAAATTTCTTATATTTATTTTATTATGCACTTACTTAGGTAAGTAATGTAAAGTCTAGTGTGTACCTACGGTGCTAACACATTTTTAAGTTATATTGTTAACAGAGAAAGGCCTAAATAATAAATCGTGACTTACATTAAATAATAATTTTATTTAAATTACGTATAAGAGGTAGTATCTAATTTAAGGCAAATGTGAATAGTCTATTCGTCGGCCCGTCGTCAGCTCCGTCTGAGACCACATCATCGCTTTCCATCAAATAAGGTCGTGATCAATCGCGGGACCCCTTTAATACCAAAAAATCTACCATTAACGCACCAAAAATGCCAGTATTATTACAAGCATCGTTGCAAATAATAATTATCTACATTAGGCTTTACGTTTGGTATGTAATTAAAACTTCATAACTTTAACTTACCGAAGTGTGGCAACATCACAATTATCTGTCAATTTTTAAAAACAATATTTTCGATATTTCTGACTAATTATTTTAAAAACACTTTTTAAATAATCCATCGGAAATATCGGTAATTATGGATTTGTTTTTGAGACAAATTATTGCTATGTTGCCGCCACTTCATCAAGCTAAATTTGAATGCTATTAAGGTAGTCATTATTATTATTTGCCTTACTTGATATTTCGACTTAATAAGTTGATACACTAGTCATGGTCATAAGCAGTTTATTACATATCGTAAAACGATGAAAAAGTACTCAGTCGAAGAAACCGTTGGAAATAGATCTTTTAAGTCTTTCAAATTTTCAAATATAAATTTTTGTACAAATAATAATGCTAGCAATAGAACCAGTTGATTATTTTAATATTAAGTAAGAAGATAGGTCAAAGCATTCATTACCTATACATATAGGTATTCAAAATATTCCTCCTACAACGCCACCACATTGCACAAGACGTTTAGTGCACAAGTATTTCAATTTATGCAATAATTTGTAATTTAATCTATAAGCTTTTCACTATTGTTTACCATGACGTCTACGACCTATTTATTAGTAGTAAATAGTTGTTCACACTGAACCCTTTCGAAAATACCATTTGTGACTGTGCTGCTATTTGTGTAAATTTTATACATCAGATAACTACTTAATTTATATTGGATCATTCTGCCAGCAGGTTACATCTGTAAGAAACCTAGGAAAAATGTAGCTATATCGAATTGGATTCAAACAGTTAACTTTTAATAATTAAAACACATTCTTATTATTATTTTATAGGCACTTTATTACTATTATTTTATCTATTTACATGAATTTACATTGTTAACACAATAAAATACTTCAACGTCACTGATATAACCTTACCTAGTTAGGTATTCTGAATTAAATGTTAAAATTTTTGTGTCATTCTAAAAAAATGTCAAATACATATACATATTACAAAAATTTAAAGTAAATATATAAGCAGTGCAAAACGTCGTGTGTTAAGAGGAAACGCAGAATTTTCGGGAATTTTGAAGATTAGATACTTTGCAAATCTATCGCTGTCGCGCCTTGCCCGGCATTAACTAAAAGGGACAACAACTACAGCTCAGTTTAACAAATACCTATGACTATCCATATCCAATTTTCCAGAGACAATACATTTATATAGAAAAAAAAAATGGTTCCCATGTTTCCTCTTAAGGCTACGATGACTGAAATCAACTTTTGATCTAGCGCAAGAAATATTTAATACAGGTTTCGTATTGTAATATAGGTAAGTAGGTATGCACCTACGTACCTACCTATATATTTTTAAAGTTGAATGTAACAGTACTCAATGCTGGTGGCACTTCTCAAAATTATTTTAAAATCACACATTGATTTTCTGACACTTTTACCTTTTGAAACTTGTATACTTCGAGCATAAACCATCACATTATATTGTACATATGTATGTACTGTACTACCCAGATGTACGACTATTTGTAGATCAAAAATTTAACAATAAAGTATATACTTGCATATTGTTACAGTAACCAACTTGTCACTAGGGATAAAACCAAATGATAACTAGTACATATAGTTGCATCTACTAGTTACTATTTACATATTTTTGCAGTTGACTGTACATACCCCACACAATATTAATCAATCTCCTTAATTTTTCCAAAATTTTAGTATCAACTAAATATTTTTATTGTAACGTTTTTAATAAGTATTAACAAGGTAATGTATTTCGAGGGGCCGATTCTGAAACGCGATTTCTTTAAACTTATCTCTTAACCTATTAATTTGATAGTTTCGTAAATATACTATTTTTTTGGAATATCATAAACTAAATTTATAATAATTTTGACTTAAATCTTAAATGTATAGTTCATATTAGTCCTTAGAATAATGATTTCACTGTGATATCAAATTATAATTTTATTTTAGAGATAGGTTTAAAGAAATAACGTCTCCAAATCGGCTCCACTATTCAAATAAGAAAGAAATTACGCTGCTAATAGATTTATTATTATACAAAGAGTTCTAAATTAATATTGATCTAAACTATTTAATTGTGCTCTTTTAGGGTAGATAGGCCTGTCAGTAGTAAACTTAAAGTTAATATGCAGGAATTGTGTAAGACTTGAAAAGAATATAGCATAGCAATCACGAATGCAATAAAAGTAGATTACACATACTCGATCATGTATTAGTTTGATAATTAAGTGAACAATGATGTATAAGGATTTTTATACTTACATATATCTTGAATACAGAGACGAATTAAATGTGGAAAATACCCTAGGCAAGTACCTTATAGGTGCCCTTCTAGCGAGCTATATATATAAATCCAATGACAATTGTGTAAAAAAGAATGAAGTTTTGTCTTGCAAAATTATCAATAACATTGTTATAGTTTAAGAACAGCAATAAGTTTAATTAAATGTTAAGTATTGCTAACAAATTTAATGTCGTATCTGTCATGGTTGAACGAAATTATTCACTCTCTTTGTACTGGAAAAACTCCATGCACCACTGCAATTACTGACTGCCGTCAATAACGCTCATTCTTAAGGCTTTGTCAATATTTGGGTAAATTATATAATTATCTTTTGTATAAGTAAGTGCATAGGTACCAGGTGAAAATTCCGCGCTCTTCATTGTGACCTCGCGCCTCTAGGGGCGTGCCTAGTTTGCCTTTGGTATAATCCACCTCTGTCTAAAAGTATCTTAAGATGGTGAATATACATAATAACAGGAATATACATAATATATATAATAACAGGATACTCTGATTACTATATTACAATTCTTTACTCGTATTATTTGTGATAATCGCCGCTTTATTAAATACTGGGCCCATAACAATAAAAGCCGTGTTAATAATTTATAACTATATATATATATATATATAAATATATATATATATATATATTTATGATATAATTGTTAATAACTCCCTAAGTAAGTCACAAGATAATCAGCTTTTTATTCTTTCTCGTAAATACTTTACAGGAACGTATTTATCAAAGATCCGTTTGCCGCTTGTCTAGAAAAACAGAATATATTCGGACTAAATGCACTCGGTATAACTTCGTAAAACAGTATCTACAGTGATAGACGTTACGACCGGACGGATACACATTACGAGCTTGGAAAGCAGAGGAATATAATGCTCAGCACCATTCTTTTTATGAAGCTTATAAATTGTTTAATCGTTATTAGAAAGGAGTTTTAGTTATACGTAGTTTAATTTCTATACAATATACCTTAGAACAGGGGGAGAGGAGTAAGTCTTTTACATGAATTACAGTTACAATTCACTAATGAAACTACTAGTCCATTAATATGATGTTATCAGCGCGACTAAATGTATTGTAATAAATCACAGAATCTTCAGGACTCTATACAATACTACAGATCACACGCCATATATATGCACTCGATTAACGACTGTCACGACACAACTAGCACCGGAGTTATTTGAATGCGAACATTCCGAACATACTCTGATTATTTCAAACTTCAACGGAGTCAATATGACGAAATGTATCGCATGAATTATTAATAGAACTCAAATACCGCTATGACGATAAACGAGTCGGTACTTTTATATCATAGAATAGTAGTGATGTATTGTTTATTAATTATAATTGTGTAAAATATAATTTAATTATTAAATTAAAAATATATTTTCTTTTTTTATTTTAAGCCTTCTAGATTAATTATGTGTTGCAATCTCTATTCGCTGTAAATATTTTAAAGCTGTGTGTATAAACACTAAAGTATAATTTTACATCACAGGCATACATAGTGTAACTCAGAAATAGTTCAACATTCCAAAATACGACAATTATATTATTGAACTGAACGACTCTTGTGAGCAAAATGACGGGCATGCCGCATACCCGCCATTTTGCTTGGGACTGCCATATGAAAAGGGCATACAGTATGTTTCATACAAAGTGATCACAATATTTGGGTTAAAAATAGTTATCAATAATACATGCCTTCAATAAAGTTGTCCTTAAGATTGTTTAGCTCCATTAGTCATTGGATTTCAAATTTACATAACACTTTTTACATATTTTGTCTCTAATATTATAAGTAGCATCTAATATTTTGGATTTGATGTTTAATAATTGCAATTCATATTGGTTTATACAGTAGTGTAGTGACATACTTCTTTCTGTATCTGTGTGTAGCTGATAGCACCATCACTCCATCTTTGATTGATAAGGCATAAAGATGATTTAACATCACATGATTTGGTTCAGGTAATAATGTTGGTTCACACTGAAATTATATTTAAGAATAGTTATATGTAGCTCATAATTGTTATAGTGAGATTGTGAATATGATGTTCATAATATTTAAACACTATAAATATGTGAATATTAATTTGAAAGCTGCAAGACTAGTCACAATGAAAACATACTTACCGAAAGGGGAGTATCTTTATTTAAAATAACTTGCAATAGATGTGGTGGCAATATTGGAGGACCTGATACTTTGTCCCAAGGTTTAGATTGTGGAATTTCCTGAAATTTACAAAATAATAATAAATAAACAATATAATCTAATAAACATTGTAAAATTATACATTGTTTTCTTTTTCCGTTTTAGCAAGAACAAAATCTTATAACAAAATAGTTAGCACTTATTATATCTTTGATAAAGAATACTTTACCTGTGAATATTCTGTCTGTGCACTGCTATGAATACCTTCACTATCTTTAGCTAAAGCTTGAAACACTTCAAAATCAGACATTTTTACTGTAACTAAGTTATTTTTTGAACCCATTCCATTATCTATCAATTTCTGAAATTAAATTTTGGATAATAAGTATTGTGTTATAAACATGTTAAAATATACCTTTATAAAATATAACAATAATAACATAATTATTTTTAATTAATAAATAAATAACTATTAGTAAATTAATGTAAACTTTTCACCAATAATTTTAAAATTTCATAGTTTGACTTATGTGTAATTTATGTACATACCACAGTAGGATCATGACGCCATTCACCATCAACAAAATATTTGTACTGATGTTCTCCCTCTGGCAAATCTATTATAGTGACAAAATCACCATGAGACTTTACCATAGGGATTGTTTTCCAATCAGTAAAAGTCCCACTAATATATACCTACAAGACAATAAGAATGAATGTTTTAGATGAACAGATAAAAATTAAGTGAATGTCTACAGATTTTTTATTAATAATTTTAATGTTTTTAAAAAAAACAACTTTGTTCATTTTATCATACAGTCAAGGGATTTACCATAAAACATAAAAACTTGGGCAATATTAATTATGTAACATACTCTTAACTGCTATCTCGCCTCTATAAAACATGGTAATATTTTACAAGGATATATACATGTGTGTGTGTATATAATATACATATATATGTGTGTGTGTGTGTATAATATACATTCTTCTGTCATCAAACAACTGCACTGTGATGTTATATTTTAATTTAAAGTTAGTGGGAATAGAGACATAAAACCTTTGTTCTCAAGAATGGCAATACATTTGGAATCTCATGAATGCCATAGTGTATTTCATGATTTTCATAATATTGTTCATATTTATATATAACAATTACAATTTTCCATCAGATGAGCTATCAGCTTAATTGGCATTCTAATTTGTATAAAAATATTATCAATAAATTTCAATATGGTAGGTATAACACAAGCAATATCCTTGTTAAAAATCTATACCAAGATGCAATAAAGTGAAATGTAATTGTTTAGTCATATCAAAGATGACTAATAATAGTTCACACAGTATAATATTTAAGTAAGAGGCAACTAGATAAGTCAGTACAAATACCTTCATCAAAATATAAGTCTAAAACAAAAAAACTCCAAATAAAACAACATGCTCTAAGCATCATTATATCAGTCTTTAACTGTCCAATGCTGAACATAAGCCTCCCCATTGAGGGATTTTACCAGTAGTTGCCACACTTGACAGGCACAGATTGGCAACCGCAGTCAGGCTTTAGAGATGTTTTAAGAGGGACACTACTGCTCATCCCTCACCCTCCCTTAGTTTGCTTTTACGACACCTACAGGATAGGAAAGAGTGATCTATTCTATTCCGGGACCACACAGACCTAATGCTCTGAGCAGAGCTCTAAGAAAAAAACAACATAGTTTATCTTACAAACAGAAGAGTACAAGTGTTATGCATAATTTCAATAATAATTCACAAAGTACCATCAATCACCAGTATTATATGTTATCAATTATAAACTTAGATTTCTATTAATTATAAACATAAACACTACGTACTTGTTTGCCTCCGCCTTCCCATTTAAAAACAGTAGGCAGTACTTTAACATCGTCTACAATTTTAGTGCTGTCAGTCAGTGTATTAGACCTTTCCCGTGACGTATTGTACTCAATGTCACTTTCAGGAACAGCCTTCGTGTAATATGGAGCACCATCTTCGATGTTATTATCATCTTCTCGTCCGCAACGATCATCATCTAACTTTTTGTTAAAAGTAAAAACCTGCCCTTCCTTATGACCTGGCGATGACGGACCAACATCAGGAGGTTTAGATATATCTCGATTCCATTCTTTCGTGTGGTTACTTCCAGCATTTCCCATTACTTGTACTGTTTATATATATATATTTTTAGAAGGTTAATTTTTAAACGAAATAATCACTAATTTAGCCCGAAACTAATAGCTCTATTTAAAAACTTATTTGACATTGGCACAGGATTACCAGATGCGAATTTTAATTTTTACCCAAATTTCAAATATTTTTCTCGAAACCAATACTATTTTTTTTTATACCACTGAGGTGGCAGACATGCATACGGCCCACCTGATAGTAAGCGGTTACCGTAGCCTATGAACGATCACAATACCAAAGACATTACGCGCGCTTTGCCGACCCTGAAGAAACCTCTTTACCCCCCTTTTGAAAAAGCCCATGCTGTAGTCTCTTGGGAAAACCTCGGCAGGAAGCTCATTCCATAACCTGAGTTTTCGTGAAAGAAAACATCTCTGAAACCGCGTTGTGCGCGACCATTTAGGCTGTAGGGTATGAGGGTGAACTTCCTGTCGATGGCGAGCCATACGATGATAGAAAATGACCGTAGGCATCATAGTGAATAATTCATCTGAGCACAATCCATTGTACAAGCAGTAGAACACGCAAAGTGAGGTAAAATCTCTCCTAAGACTCAAGGGTTTGATACAGCTTGCAAGCCTGGGATCATCGACAATTCTCATAGCTAGTCGTTGCACTGAGTCAAAGGGTTAAAGCTGATATCTAGGTATTCCCGCCCTTAAGTGACAGCAATACTCCATATTGGGTCGGATTTGCGATTTGTAGAGCAATAATCGCTGATCCGGCGTGAAGTAATACTTCGCTCTGGAAGAGAAAGGGATCGTTAGTAATAGGCTTTAACTGCCCCATTGCTAGCAATATACCCTAATAGGTCGACCTTCATGTGGTGATTCTGTATGTATTCATCACGATGGGCTAACTGACCTGCTTTTTCATTATCACCTATCATCCCTCACTGGTGCCCCGCCAATGCATACCGATAGCGCAGGCGAGATTACCATTCCATTATCCTCCATTAAAAAAATGCTTCGCTCTATTAAACACACCGAGTTTTTTTGATGCCAGCTTCACCTTGTCATCGAGATGGCCACGGAACTGTATGTCACTAGAGATGTCGACACCAAGGATCCCAATGCTCTTAGAGATGTTAAGAGACGTGCCTTGGAACTGTGGTGTCACAGCCAATGGGTTTTTTTAGCGGTGAACGCGCAAGCTTGTGTCTTATTTCTAGAACATTTGGTCTATCACAAAGTTGTATCGTTTTACATTACATTTTTCCATATGGCACAAAATGTATAGTCAAAAAATTATTCCTCTTTCTTTTTCTGTTACTTTAAATTTCATTCTGTTCCTACTTTAGCTTATCCTATTGTCTTCTATTCTTATGCCATTTTCTCTTTATTACCCTTCTATATTTTATCAGTGGTAAAAATATCTAAAAAAATACCCAAATTTTCCCAACATATTTTACTTTTCTCAGGAATTTCATTTTGTTAACACATGATTTTTTTTTTATTTATAATAATTTGAATTTATTAAAAATAAAATTTTGATTTTGATATATAAAGGTCCCCGGTGCGTTGCCGGGTTTCGGCACCAAAAATGTCAATAAAATTTTAAATTTTATGAAATAAAAGACATGATGATAGCTAGAAAAAGAATGAGTTTTTTATTTTTTATTAAATTCAAATTATTATAAATAACAAAAAAGTTTTCATATGTTAACACATTTCTCTAAAATTTTGCGCGTGAAAAAATTTTTACTCAAAATTACGAATAAAATATCAATCTGGCAATGGTGCTGTGACATTAAAAAAATAACTTTGTGCCTGTTACTTGCATTGACATTGACATACCCACAGAAAAACAAGTTAGTTAATATACTTAGTCTATGACAAGAACCTACCTAATTATACTACAGACACCTACGTTATTTAAAAGTCAGTGCTGTTCATTCTACGGCACCATTGTTTTAAATTGTACTTTAAACCTATTTCAAAATTTTACATTTCTGTTAAAAAAGGCTACCCTTTATTCTAAGGACCAATATGGTTTTAATTTTTAATATATTTAACACACAATTATTATAAATTTAGTTTATAATATAAATCAGTAATTTTAGAAAATTATCAGATTAAAATATTAAGTTAATAAGAAACAGATGAGATAGAGAAATGATGCCACAGAAAGGTATCACAGCGTTTATATTGATCAAAGATTTTTTATGTGTTTTAAAAAATTTAACTGCACAACTCTCATCATCCTTTATATTCACATTAATATAAAGAGTAAAAGACTCTTTATATTAATGTAAAAAAGAGGCAATTACTGATTTACAGTTTTTTTTTATCCAGTTCTTATATTTTATTCTTAGACGTTTATTTTTATCTGCTTTTACTTGCTCTGTGCTGTGCAAATACATACCTAATCTACGCTACGTAAGTAGGTAGGTACTACGTCATAATAAAAATCAATGTTATCATTTCGATTTTGTGATCCTCGTTACTCACATGGACATACGTGATCATATTAGAATAATTAATAATGAATGATGAAAAGCAACCACTTCTCACGACAGGGCCTGGCGTTCCTATTGATAATGTTGAAGTGCAAGCCGTAGAGTTAGTAAATGATCCATCAGTGCCTAAGACTGAAAAAGATAAAAGTGAATATCACCCTGCTGCAGAACGATGTTTGGAACATCCCACTTCGAACTTCGATACTTTGATCCACCTCCTAAAAGGAAATATAGGCACAGGAATTTTGGCTATGCCGGATGCCTTCAAAAATTCCGGTTTAATAATTGGTAAGTTTATTACAGAGTATTTAGACATTTGTTTATTTGCAAACAACAAAAAATTTTTAGATCAGCGGATACCTTTAAGGATGATTTTTTATCATAATAATAATACATAGTTTTATTAAATTTTTATTCTTATATTTCTTAAGGGTCTATAACGTGCGCGTGACATCCCTGATATTACCGATGTTCATAGACTACCGTTATACCGATAGCCCCGTTTACCATCAGACAAGATGTAAGCTTGGTTGCCATCATAGTAGTATAAAAAAGAAATTTTAATTGAATAAATATATTTTAATATGTCCTTAACATGTTGGAGACCGCATTAAAAAAAATCATATTTCTCACATATGGACTGGCATTTTTTTATTGTTAACTATGGAAATATTATTTTTTAAATGTTTTTTTGTATGCAATAATTCTATGTCAAATTAACTAAGTCTGCTATATACAGTATTTCTTTGAGGGAGAGGCGAATCAACTACTGTACATAAATTGTTGTATTGTATTTAAATCATACACAATGGTGTACATGTGGTCCCGAAGTAAAACAAATTTGTGTGCCCATGCGGGCCGGTAATGTTGTTACAGAGTGACCCACCGGTGGGTATGCAGTCTTTAACATGTTAATGTATGTTTACTGGTGCTGTTTTGTAAACAATTAATATACTTATTAAAATAATCCTATTCAGGTGTATTTGGCACTTTGTTCATGGGGATGATTTGTACACATTGTATGCACATATTAGTGCAATGTTCGCATCAACTGTGCATTAGGAACCAACGACCGGCATTGAGTTTTTCTGAAGTTGTAGAGGATGCTATTGCTACAGGACCAATTCCTCTCAGGCCATATGCTAAAACAATGAAGTAAGTATATCATATATTAATGTACTTTGTTACCATACATGCTATCTTTTCATTTTTCATATTAATAATAATATCATGTTAGCAAAAGCTATTAATATAGACTGAATAAATATAAAAATGAATTGGCTGCTCAACTACAAAGATTGGAGAACCTTAAATTCTCAGGCAAAAAAAAATTAAATAACTATAGGAAATATTTGCAAAGTAAGATTGAGAGTGTAATCAATGTATCAACCTTAATACATGATAGAAAGAGGTTCTGTTTTTGACAACCTAATAGGATTAGTAGACTAGTAGCATAATACAAATTATATAACTACAAATGAAAAAATGTTCATTGTATTTAAATTCACATAATGAAAAAATGATATGCCACTTAGTTTAAATAATATAATTTGTAAATGAAATTTAAGGGATGAATTTGATTTAAATTAGATAAAAAAAAAATGTAGACACACTTATAACTGAAAATTTTTCAGTTATAAGTGTGGCTCATCTGCACTTATAATAATTTCCTTTCTAATAAAACTAAGAAAAAAACCTAAATCGTTAGCATTTTTTTAAAGATGCATTCTCTAGTGAAAGTACATTTTCTTATAACAGCATTGATTGAAAATTGGCAAAATATGTTGTATGTTCTCTCTTCTCTATTGCATATTATGAAACTATTTCCTTAATATACAATATTTTCTTGTTTACCATATATATAATTTAAAATTTTACTAACAACCCATAATGTAAAAATAGTGTATGATAACTTGGTGATAATCAAATTGTTTATGACACTTTCCAAACTGTTTCCACAAACAAAAAATTGGATTTGTCCAAATCCAAATTATATGCAACTGAAATAGCATTCACATATAAATCACTGTATCACTTATGATGAATTTTGGTATAGAGATAGATATCCTCTACCCAAAGGTTGCTTAGAAAAAATAACAATGCAGCCTATTGTATAACTTCTCATTAAAATTTATTGTATTTAATATTTTTTTAATGATGCAATAAAGTGTAAATAAATAAATAGAACACTGGAAATGATTTATAGGCTACCTTTTCTCCCGGTGAATGAACATATTTCGGTCATGCGGATGAAGTCGCGGATAAAGTAAGCTAGTAAAATAATAAATGGGTAGTAATGTATATCATATCCTCTGTACCATTCATGTTTCAACCGTGTAGCAGCTGTGTTTGCATGGCTGTGTTTCGGTTTGAAGGGTGGGATATGGCGTGCATTTGCTGGATATAGAGGAATAACACCTGAATCCTCAGGAATAGCAACGCATGGGGGTATCATGGGTGAAACAGTATACTCTGTTATGTCCACGGTACTGCTCATGTCTATAGGCGACGGTTACCACTTTCCATCAGGTGGCGGTCCACCTGATGGAAAGTGGTAACAGCTTGTTTGCCATTCTAAGTTGTATAAAAAAAAATCAACAAATGTCAAGTATTTTATATATTATAAAATTCTAACATTTTATATGAAATTTACACTATACGCACGGTGAAATAGAATTTATTAGTTATAACCAACTCAAAAAGAAGCAGGTTGTCAATTCGATTGTATTTTTTTTTTGTTTATAACGTCGTAATTCCATGATTTATCAGTCATCATTAATAATCAAATATGATATTAATTTCAACTTGATACCTCCACGTGTTCCTAAGAAAAAAAAAAGGGTCTTGACAGATGGACAGACAGACGGACAACGAAGTGATCATATAAGGGTTCCGTTTTTTCCTTTGGATGTGCGGAACTCTAAAAATGTAAATTAAAAACAATAGATGATAGATAGGGCATGCAAATTCTATAACTAAGTATGACACTGGCATTTGTAGTTGAAATTGCGATAAAAAAATGTTTGTGAAAGTGCCTATAGGAATATCATTTACTCTCATTTCAGTTGTTATATTTTTCCAAACACCAATCTATTTGTAATATATTCTGTTTGCTGGATACATATACTCATTATCAATTGTTAATCCAGTAATATAAATTTTCCACAACATATTGTGTCATTATATTACTCATTACATAGTTCGGTTTCGTCCTCTTGATTGGAACATAATAATTTATCGAGACAATATGCAGTAGGTAACTTAACTGTATTATGATTTCCTGTTTTTTTCGTTAGTGTTTTTTGGGAAAGGAATGGTAACCCCGCCCGCGCTGTCGGTATAGGCTGGCGTGGCACCAGTTAAAGATGATAGATGAGGATGAAAGCTGGTCAATTAGCAAACGTAACGAATTCCATTAGAATTAACCAAGTTGCTTTCCAAGGAGAACCGTGTGGGGGTCGACCTGATAGGGTATATTAACTAGCGATGGGGCTGTTAGACCCCATTACTAACAATTCTCTTCCCCCCAGGTACCTACATGATTTTCATTTAAGTTTAAAAATTATCTAAATACGAAGAAGTCACGCGACGATTTTGATAATTGTTTTTAAATCGAAAATACGTAGAAAATACGCAAATAATTACTTTTTTCGAAGTTAACTCACTTAAAAAAATACAATTTCAAATATCACGTGCACGAAGTCGCGAGCGCATATACCTATTATCTCTCTTCAGGTAGAGGCAATAGTTTAATAATGGGACTATATAATGTTATATGGTTATAACATGCATGGTTTTCTGATTCATACTAACATTTTTTTGTTTCAGGGCTATCATCAATATATTTTTAGTAATAACCCAATTAGGTTTTTGCTGTGTGTACTTTCTGTTTGTTGCGACTAACCTACAAGATTCAATGCATTTTTTCCATATAAATTTAAATGTACACACCTATTTAGCTTTATTGCTCCCACCTATACTAGCATTAGCTATGCTAAAGAATTTAAAGTATTTAACCCCAGTATCACTTATTGCATCAATAATGACTGCTTGGGGCCTGGTGGTAACGTTTTACTATATATTGCAAGATTTGCCCCCGACCAGTAGTGTGAAAGCATTCGCGAGCTGGCATCAATTGCCATTGTATTTTGGCACTGCTATATATGCATTTGAGGGAATAGGAGTGGTAAGTAATATCTATTGATATATATTAATTATATTTATTATCTTAATATTGTCGGGTTAAAAATCTTTACAATCTCTTAGAACAAAAGACATAACGGGTTTGAGTCTCGGTTAGGCTATTAAAGCTATATACTGTCATAAATAGATGTCCTCTACATATTTTACATGGCGTGTCTACATCGACATGCCGTGTACAGTAAAAGTATAGAACCAACATCTTGCGGTGGAATTTTCGAACAAATTCAACATATGGACTTTCACGAAGAAAACCTATATCTTTTTTTTTTTTAAAGACAACGATGCTTCAGCCACTCTGTTTTCATGTTCGAACTGTTATATATCCTAATAAAGTGAGAATACTGAAGTATTTAGTTTAAATAACATACATAAATGTAATCCAAAATCAATTTTAATTTAATGTACTAATTCAAGCCATAAATTTCAGATTTTGCCATTAGAAAATAACATGAAAACGCCAGATGATTTTGGTGGATGGACTGGAGTCCTTAACACAGGGATGGTAATTGTAGCTGCATTGTACACTGCCATCGGTTTTTTTGGATATCTTAAGTATGGAGAACATGTACTTGGCAGTATTACGTTAAATTTGCCAAATGACTTGTGAGTGTCAAAGATTTCTTCTATTAAGTCTCTTGCTACATCTATATGACTCGTCTCTTATATAGACGTTGATTTGGAGAAACGTAAAAGCTTTTTTTTCTAATAAAGAAAAGCAAGATTTTTTTTTTCAAAAATATATTTTGTGTCTCTTTCACTTGTATTATATATTTGTGCAAACTTTAATGGCTGTTAAATTATTATTTGTGTAATTATGTATTGTTATAACTGTCTGTTTGCCTTATATAAATAAGTAAAGGAAATATAATTAAATTCAATTAGACAGTAGATTGTATTGTATGTATACGAACAAACTGATGGGAAATGGTAATTATCATTAACTGATGCCCACTGAAAACTCTGTGACATGTCATACATTGCCATTTCTGCCAATTTGCCAAACAAATTTATTTTACCATATTTCAATTCAGCATATCTTAATAGTTTATTTACTATTAATTAAAGTTTTTTTTAACTTAATAAATGAAAATAAGTTCATTCCTTAGTTAAGTGTCTATAATATATATCAAAACCACGCAATTGGGTCAAATCGGGTCAATTAATTGTATGTAAAAGAATTCATCAAAATTGTTTCAAGTACTCTTCCGCTTTATACTAATTAATTTTTTATACTGATTAATTTTACAGATTAGCGCAAAGCGTCCGAGCAGTTATGGCTGCTTCTATTTTTCTGTCATACGGACTCCAATTTTACGTTCCAATGAATATTGTATGGCCGTATATCAAGTCAAAATTAACATCTGAAAATGCACTAAAACATGGCGAAGCACTTACTAGATTTACACTTATATCTCTAACATGTAAGTACCATAACTTTCCATTCATATGCTTTATTTTTATACCAGATAGTTTATCAGTCAATACTAGTTATTGTGTGTCCTATATAAATATTATAACACACCTAAGTACCTACAGTGGGTTATCGTGTTGCTTTTCCTATAGTTATTATGTACAAATACAAGTAAATAAAAAGCATTTATTATTATTATTGAGTAAATACCTCATGATGTACTTAAGGATATGGATTTTTTACACTTGATTGTCTGTTTACTTAAAAACCTTTCATTACATGTGGTAATGATGAACAACTGTTCGTCAATAATTTTTCACTATATTTGCAACTTTATTTATATTCTTAATTCGCCTGTATTTATAGTGAGAGTATGTTACGCTATGTTATATTCGTTTTTGAATTTTAATAATTCTTATTTACAATCCATAGTATTTACTTCATTGTCGCATTAGTCTCGCATAATTTCATTACTACAAGGACCTTGGTTTTTGAGCAACATAATTTTAATTGTATAGATGTTTTTTTTTTTATACAACTTAGAATGGCAAACAAGCTGACAGCCCACCTGATGGAAAGTAGTAACCGTCGCCTATAGACATGAGCAGTACAGTTTGAATGTTACACAATCATGCTTTGATCATCTGATCATATCATCTGAATGTATATAAATTAGATTTGGGTAGACCTTTTTTTAAAGGGTGAGAATGGAATGGTAAGAGCTAGTGAGAGATGATAAATGAGGATAAAACCTGATCAGTTATCATAACAAATTTTACAAGAATGAACGACAATGGTTTTTTAAAGAGGAACCTCATGAAAATCCTGATAGGGTACATGGCTAGCAATGGGACTGTCGGAAATCATTACTAACACTATTTTCTCCTAATTTGGGTACGTTACTCATGTATCAAATTTCATTCGTATGATTAACAATGAAAGAATATATACCAAATCACGCGGGAAAAGCCGCAGTATTTAACTTGTAAATTATAAAGCGTATTTATTATTATTTCATTAAATACACATCAGTCTAAATAGATATAGACAAAGCTAACATAGTTGCTGTTATCATGAAACTTATCTGTGTGAACGAGGACAACTAATGTGTTATCTGTTATGCAGTTTCAGCGGCCGCTCTAATTCCCAACTTGAGCGGTATTATTTCGTTGGTGGGCGCTTTCAGCAGCTCTGCATTGGCTCTTATATTTCCACCGTTCATAGAAATAATAACTTTTTGGCCCGACCAACTCGGTAAATATAATTGGAAGTTATGGAAAGACATCGCCATAATCGTTTTTGGAATTACCGGTTTCGCCTTTGGCACTTATGCTAGTTTAGAAAATATTTTACAGCATACCTAAACACAATTGTCTGTTCCCCACAGAAACTTGACTAAATGAATAACAATTACCAAAGATTTTTGATTTATTTTTTATTAAATGAGTAATCATGACAATAATTGTATGTAGTAATCATTTTGATCTGTTTTACTTTTATTATATATTTTTAATAGCTTTTAGGTAACTGCAGAATAAGAGCTTAGCATATTGCTGAAACTTATTTATATTTATTTTTTAATAATAAGTATTCAATCATTGACATGATAATGCATTTAGCATTATTTAAAAAAATGAAGATATGTTGAGTTCTTAACCTTACCTAGTGAGATTATAATTAAGTCAGATAATATAAACTATGATTGTTATTCATTTCTATAGAAATATATTAATAATATTATTGTAATGAATTACCCGTTGGTATATTTTTCTTATGTAATATAATATTTAATTATGCTTGTTATCTAATTGTGATTTTGACAATTTATGAAATTATGTTTCTTATAATATTTTAGATGCCACTGACTATTTAAGATCTTTATCAGCCTTTTGTTCTCTTAAATTAATATTATACATATATTTAAAAGGTATAATTTAATCAAAATTTAATTCTCAAGTAACTGGATATCAGTTTATAGTATACTTAATATAAGTATTTTTAGAACGTTAATTTTACAGAACTGTGATGTAAACTAAACTAATGTAAAACAAAAATAAGAATAAAAATTATAATTTATTTTTATTGTATTAACTGTAATCAGTTACATATTAATATAGAAAATATAAAACGTTACCTATCACAGTTATTAGATTAATATAGTGATTCTGTTTTAGATGAGATCTATATGGGCGGGTATACTTAGAAGAGTACTTGATGCTTATAATATCTGCATTCTTAGAATTGGCGTTTTTTATTCGATTAAATATGTGTATATTCATAGTTTCGCCCCGCATTATCGCCCGCCCATCATATTTTCGTTAATCTGAATTTGCATGTATTATTATATATACAATATTAATAATAATAATTTCTTTTTATAGATACTTTTATTACATAACACGATTGGCAGCTTAATGAGACCTAATTTCTGGTTAAAAATTATTCGATTTTGAAGTACTTGTAAATTGTTCAGTATTATTTCATTTAACATGAACTGAACATAGTTTTGTTTTTAAAATTTTCTTTTAGCTAGCTTTATCGATTATTATAAACTGAAGGTCCATAGTCGTCTACCCCTTCATAAAAATTACTCCACCTAATTATTTTTTACAAGATTTATACATTAATTAGCCACTGTATGAAGTTTAGCGTTTATAAGCAAGAGCAAGGGACTGGTGATAAGTCCATTAAAATCACCATGTATCATTAAATTCAAATTCGTTTTACGAACTGATTTACATTAGGGATTAAAGTTTCCATAATGGCTATCGCCTCTCACGGTCGTTCTTGCATTCATGGACAACGTTTAAAAATACATATGATTGTCAAAATCTGATATGTGAAAAGGATGATTTTTAGCGAACTTATAGGTTACCTGTTATCTATTCTGTAAGCTTCTATAAAGTTGAATGCGCACGGAAAATGTTGAGAGCGATATTTCTGCACAATACTAATAATATCTTTAATACTTAATGGCATTACTCCGAATTCAATCAAATGACGCTGAGCTAATAAGAAATGAATCATGATATAAGAGCAGGGTTCCTCTAGAACCCAACCATTAATCTTGATTAAAAAATAATGTAATAAGAGATTGGGCTCTATCTTTCTCTGATATTTGTTACCTATTAAGATGAATGGCGTGTATCACGGATTGAGCACAAAGTTTGAAATAATTAGGTATATAGTTTATTTGAAAAAGTTTAAAGCTTTGCTGTGTTATTATATTGAAATTTATTAATATATATATATATATATATATACATGAGAGTACTCTTCCATATACCATATATATATATATATGGTATATGGTAGAGTACTCTCATGTACATATATTCATATATATTCTTGGCTAAAATACTCATAAATCAATCCGGATACATTTTTACAATAAAATAAAATTGATTAGTTCACTAAATGTCGTGATATAATTAGATTGGTGTTTCATATTATTGTAAATGTGTCATAAATTTACTTGAGTACTATAATATTAAGTATCTTTTACCACTTGTTACATTAACTTATTGGATAAAAGTTTTGAAATTTTTAAGAACAAGATGTTACAAAACATAATTAATGTAACAAGTATATCATGGTGACAGGGTTAAAAAATCAAAACATTTGTAGTCGACTGTACCTATCCATGGGCCTTTGAGGTTGGAAAGGGAGAATTTACACAAATCTTAACAACAATTATTATTATATGATAAGAGTGTAACTTTAACACATCAGTGCAGTTTCAGTGGCCTAAGAAACTAAACTAGAACAACTTTTGGAATCCTATGATAACGTTAGGATGAATCAATAGTAAATTTTTATTATTGTTACTGTAAGAAAATTTCATTATTTGTAGGCTAAATAAGTTACATTATTATAATCTTAATATATCTAGCTTTCAATGTCTTAATTTAACTGTCTACATATAGATAATTTAACACAAAAATTTTGACTTCTCAAATTGTTGTTCAAATTAATATTACCTATTGTGCATAGTTGAGATAAAAATATGAACTTTTTAATATAAATGTTACTAGCGTTTTAAGCTAGATATCTGCCTGTGATATTAGTACATTAAGACTAAAATTACTAATTATGCGTATTGTGACCTAAATATTGTAGAACGAAATAATAACTGAGTATCTATCAAAAATTTAGGTCAGTATATATTTAATAATTTTATTTTTTTATTTTAATTACATCTTAATTTTCTTTTTTTTTTATGTGCTTTAACTATATTATTAAATAATCTAATCTGAGAATATTAATAGTGGTAAATTGAAAATAGTTTCTATTCATATTTTCGAATAATTTTGGTCCTAATGTATTAATTAAAGATCCTTATTTTTTATTAAAAAGTAAGTATTATTAATAAATTTTCATTCTCTATGAATTAATTACTTAAATGTCTAAGTACGTATAAGTTATATTTGACACGAGTGAAAAAAAGTGTACTGATCAGCAATGCTATTTTGTAAAGAATCTCACTTTCCAACTGGCTTCATATTTACGTGGACAAAATATTCACAAATTTCACAAACAATTTAAAATAAATATTTTCAAATTTAACAATTAACGGCCGATACAATAACATTTTCAAATTTGTGAACTGAATGACAAGTGATACGAATTTTGAAAAGTGAGTACCTAAAAATGGTAGCACACTCCAGTTCACTGTTTCGCCACTTTAACAAAATAGCACGCGATTTTATATATTTACTTACAAAATACCAAATATAAATCATTTGTGGATACGCTAGTGAAACTTGAGCGTGCTAATAGAACAGCACTATAGTGGCGGATGTAGGATTTCGTTTAAACGAGGTCTATTTTTCTATATTAAAAAAAAAGAGAAATTAATTTTATTATCCATATAATTACAGTCCTACTTGCAATTTGAACAGAGTGAACACGAAAATTGTTTTAAATTGGTCCAAAATATATTTCGGCCATAAGCTGGACAGATGGCAATTGTTCTCTTCCCCTTTCGCCTATCTTATCCATAGCTCCTACTAAGTACAATAATATTCTGTCGCCAACTTGTGAAGGTAGTCTTTATAATATATTTTTAAATTTTACATTTGTAGGTAATCCATATGTATTCGTACAATGTACAAGTACTCAAATAGTACAAACCCAATACTTTTTTTTATGTATTATCTATATGTTATTGTGTATCGTCCATTATATCATATTTTAATCATGCTAAATTAAATGTATACTTATATACAAAAATATAGCTGCAGCATTACAATGAACATTTCTTTTTCTTATGGCATTTTTAGCCCAATTTTAAATAAATTTGGACCGGTGAGTAAACTAATTATAATTAATATAGTTAAGTATAAATTTGCATGTATTATCTGATTATTTATTCGTTCATATAGTAACGGAGCTAATTCCTATATTAATTATGCTAATTTGTAAAATTAAAATCCATTAGCGTTGTTGCAACCAGTTTCTATTATTTATCGTTGTGAATTAAAATTGAATTATAAATAATGACATATAAAGATAAAAAGTACTTAAGGTACTGCTCATGTCTATAGGCGACGGTTACCACTTTCCATCAGGTGGGCCGTCAGCTTATTTGCCATTCTAAGTTGTATATAAAAAAAATATTGTAATATTTCCTGTTAAAATATCTCCATTTAAAATTAATAAGTCATGGACATTAGTAATTGTAATGAAATTATAATTACAAATAAGGCTATGTCTTTTATATACTTAAAACAGCATATATATTCTTTCAAAATAAATAAGTGTTCTTTTTTCAGATGCTGTTTGACTGAGCACAACATTTACAACTTTTGATTAATACGCCAAAGACTGCATTATCCAGAATAATAAAACACAATAAAGAAACTAAACATACTTATACTTGTTTTATTTTCCATGTTATACTTTAAATCAGAAAATTTTATATTATGAAATAGCTAGGTTCTTTATGAAAACGGTCTATATCGATATTTTATATGAGGCCAATATAGATATCGAAATCTTTGTATAGATACAGCACTATAGATTTTTTTTATAATTGTCATAATGTTGTCATCGAAAAGGTAACACGTATTTGATTTATCAGGATTTATAAATATAAATAAGTCGCTGCAAACTTTTATAACAGTGATTACTTGTTCTATGGTTTAAAAAAAGTTTGGATCTTACTGGTCTTAGTTTGGAAGACGTCCGAGCAGGATAATTGTAGTCACTAGACAAGTTAAACCATACAAAATGAAAATGTGTTTTCTTTCTTGTAATATAAAAAAATAAACATGTAAGGCTGCTAAAATTGTTCCTTAGTATAAGTTATTATAACTTTCTGAATTTGATTTAAGTTGTTTTAAAACTAATGTAAATATTCTTAACTGTATAGAAAAATAAATAATTAAACAAGTTTTCATTTAATTTTATTAAATGAGTAACTATTGAGTTTCTTTATTTTTTATTTAATACCTAAGAAGGTTAAAAAATAAAGCAAAATATCACACTTGTCATCACAAGAACGATTAAACACTATTTCATGCAACAAAATAAAATTATCTTCTATTAAGTACGTGATGATGACGTATTAAGTACGAAGAAGATGTAAGTGAATGAAGAAAATTATTGAATGTCGTGGTAAAAGCTCCAAAATCCGAGAAACACTCTTTCGGTCCTGGGGGGCAAGTTTTAAAGATGGCAGCCCTATACATACCTGTCGTATATAAATGCGTTGATATGATTTTAAAACTAAAACGAATAATATGATTTAATTGTAATTATTGTCCTCAGATTGTTAGTAGTATAAACTACATAGGTACTCATGGAAGGGCATACATACATTGAATAAAATGGTTGTGAGATAAAAAAATTTTAGTGTGTAAAATCTTTTGAAATAGTGAAACAAGAAGATAATAATTGAATATAATTTTGATCTTAAGTACGAGTCTATTATACATGACAGCAGCAGAAATGATCGCAAAATTGGTGCATGATTGGCATTAAGGAAAAGAAATAAATAAAGAAGCACTTATGACTAAGATATTATGTATTAACAAATACAAGTTTACGAAGTAATTGCGTAATGCTTAGTAATTGATAAAATTTGTGCATAAAACACGTAGTATCAAGTCTATCGTGTTCAATATCTATGGTAAATCTCGCAATATATCTGCGTACGTTCCTAACAGTCACTACAATTGAGACCATATACTAATGTACTATACCCTGTATCAGGTATTTACTTAACAAAATCTTTATGTTCTTTGTAATATATCTATTAGTTTATAGTCTTAATCTATAAGAAATGTTTAGTTGTATTTTAATTGTGTTCAAAATAAAACAAATTATAAATATTTTTAGAAACAATTAGTAGGTAATGTAGGGACCAAACAATATAGTCATAGGCCTAAAAATAATATTAAGAAAGAGTATTTTATGTAATATTTTAAACTGAACTAATTTTTTGTCCCACACTGTCAGAATATATATTCTGAAAAAAAAAACTATTAATATAAAAATATAACTATAACTTTATCGTGTAACACATATGTCTCTAGGTTAGATTATAAATCTCATAAATTGATTTTTACATTACATTTATAAATTTTAAAACTATTTAAAGATTGTTAACAAGTATTATTTTTAATAATGTCATAAATTTACAACCATAATTTATGCCATTTAGGCACGTGGCTTTGATTTCTAAACGAATTAAAAAAAAAGTTTGGAACACTATAGTAAAATGTCATTCTCCGACAACAATTAAAAAATGTCGGAATCGTGTCAAGACGGTAATTGTCACGGAAATAACGAATATGGGCCCGACGAATCACCCACCAAACTCATCGTCAATTACATTCCTGAAGTCATGACCCAGGACATGATGTACTCACTGTTTTCGACAATGGGTAAATTGGAAAGTTGTAAACTGATAGCAAATCGAGGATATGGGTTCGTAGAGTACACTTGTCCTGAGGATGCAATAAAAGCCAAGAAGGCGTTTAATGGATTACTCATGCAGAACAAGACTTTGAAAGTGTCTCACGCACTCCTCAATCCAGAGCTAAAGCCCCCGTCGAAACCGGAAGCCGATTGGAACCTCTATGTATGTAACCTACCTAACGAACTGACCTTGCAGGACTTACATGGACTTTTTGCACAATTTGGTAAAATAGTTAATTCGCGTATAGCTGCTGGTATAGCATTTGTTTTATATGAGCACCAGTATGAAGCAGAGAGGGCCATTCAAAATACTAATGGCACCACACCACCTGGTTTTTTACACCCATTAACTGTTAAGTATGCTAATAAGAGTAATCCTAATAAACATAAAAACAATAACAACAATAATTTTTCTAGAAGTCCTTTGGTAAAACCTTATCATTGGATAAATCACATGGGTGCTATGGGAGATCACAATTCTCCAAGCACATGGTCTATTTACGTTTATAATATTGCTCCAGAAGTCGAAGAGCTAACTTTGTGGCAGCTATTTGGTCCGTATGGTGCTATTGTTTCTGTTAAGATTATCAAGGACCACCAAACTAATAAGAGTAAAGGGTTTGGTTTTGTGACTATGAGAAATTATGATCAAGCAGCGATGGCGATACAAGCCTTGAATGGTTATGTCCTTCATGGCCAGCCTCTCTCTGTTAGCTTCAAGACTCAGAAAAGATAATGCTGTGAAAAAAGACTTACACTTTACAATATCAGTACTGCAATAAATAGACAAAAATAATAGTAATAATATCATTTCATAATTGGCATTGACAAAACAAAGTTTACAATTAATATTCTCAATTCCAAGCTCTTTCCACATTGTAATTCTTTATGTAACTTTTTGTGAAGTCTGCAAACAATTGTTGAAAATATTTTATTAATTTGAGCTATCGACATTGTTAAGTTTGTTTCTTATTATGAATAATAATTTATTCAGTTTGCTCGTTAAATCTTTCAAGTTTACTAGACATTTAAGATTTGTATTGATGATAACGGTGATGATTGTTGTACGAAAGTTCAATATCAGTTGTGAGCCATGATGCTTCATTATTTTTATCTATTATTTAAGTATAATAAACAATTTTAAAGAAAGTGCTTTTACAAGATCTTACTAATTGATAAGCCACATTGAGATGTTTAATCAGTTACTAGTTTTAGTTGTACACTTTTTATAACATGATGTCTATTTAGGTAGTGAAAACAAAATCTAGATTATATCATATTTATACATTTAGTATAAAATTTGCTGAATTAAAGTTCATTTTCACAATTTTATTAAGTGTTTTTGATTTTATACAAACAAATAAAATTTACTCATATTAATCTTTTATTCATGTTTTAATGTTTCTTGTATCAATCTTCAATAACAGATAACATTTATTGTTTTGGTTGAAGTGTGCTGTTTTTTGTATAAATGTCACTTAACATTTAACCAAAATCTGAGTAAACCTAAATAATAATGCATACTGTAATCATTATAATATGCAACTTGTAGATATTTCATGTTTATAGGCAAGGCGGTAATTAATTACCACTTCTGTTAGACCAGATTATAATTAGTAGTTATAAAATCTAAATATCCAATTTCATATAGCTCCATAATCTTTAAATGACCATCATTCCACATTCATTTTACATTTCTTAACCTATTCCTAATTACGCTGGGTTAAATCAAAATCAGTAGCATCCTATTGAGGATGTATTTTACTGAAGAAACCAAGCATTTTCTCCAAAATAATGTGGGTCAAAAATATATATAAAAGTTTGAGTTTTTTTTTAAATCTTTGGGTTTACATTATATAAGACATTTACATCATGAAAGAGTAAGCAATGTTAGCTATATCAGTGCTGTGTAGTGTACTGTACAGTAAATTAGGTTAAAAATCTGTAGTATTATATATATATATATATACATATCAGTGTGTCGAATTTTCAAAGGCGACCTGATGAGGTCTGCGAAAAGAAGATTTTCATTTCATGGAGATAAGTTTCTTGCCATGTCAAATGGTAATTTGTCAATGGCTCCAGTGCCTACATTATAAAAATGCAATTTTATATATTTGTTTTGACTAAAAAGGGTTTTTAGAAGTCTCTACTTAACCATGATATTTCAGTTTATTTATCCGCCTATTGCTATGTTGGTGTTATCTTGTTGAAAAGACTTGAAATTTGGTACATTTTCTAATTATAGCAAAGCCAACCTTTTTTTAATGGATGATAATGGAATGGTTTCTTCGCCTACGCTAACGTTATACGCTGGCGGGGCACCAGTGAGGGATGATAGGTGAGAATGAGAAAAGCAGGTTAGTTAGCCCATCATGATGAAATACACTTGGGATTTAGCACAATGGATTCCAGGGGGGACCACGGGGAGGTCGACCTAGTTTAGTATATTGCTAGCAATAGGGCCCTTAGTCTCCATTACTAACACTTCCTTCCCCCCTTGGCGAAACCGATTAGATCCCATAATTTGTATAACTAATAAGATCTACTAGAATTCAAGTAAACTTAAATTTCGCCAAGTATCAATAATCTTGCGTATCAACATATTTAAAAACATTGCCCAAATACTAATGTTATTTAGATTTTTTAATAGAACATAGCTTTTTAATAGCCATTGATATCTTAATGAGCTTGATGTAGCATGTACCTAGTGCCATAATTACAGAATAGATATATTATTTAGTAGCAGTTTTCAATTTGTAAGAGACGAAAATCACTAATCAAATAAATTTTTGTATGTTATTTGATTATTTTGAAAATAAAATTGAAAATCAACATAGATTTACATCCATGTTGGGCCAATATTTATTTATCTACGATATGTCGTTCATTGTAGTGTTTTATTAGTTACATTAATAGTCAATACACGAAGTAAAAATCATATAAGTTGATAACTAACCCTAATTATTATGTAAAAATAAAAATGATTGAAGACGCTGTTTTTTTGAGACCAAATTTGTACATAATAATTATGTGTACCTAAGCTATGTAGCTTAGGTATTTATATTAAATGACCGATTGTTTTTGATAATTGACCATTCTACAAAAAAGTTGATGAATATAAAATAGGTTTGAAAATCATCAAATATTAAAACAAGATAACAAGAAATCATTACGTTACATATACATAGGTACATCAATTTTGCAATAAACAAGTTCCTTTAGCAATTTTTGAGCAATTACTAGATGGCGCTAGTTTCGCGTTACATGGTACAAGTACGAAAAAAATGACTGCAATGAAATTTTATGTATCGATAATAGATGAACGATAATTACGTTCTATCTACTTTACCACAGAATAATTTTATACCTAACAAGAAAAATTATACTGTCAGTTGGCAATTTTTTCATTAATCTTGACTTAAGCGCTTAACTAACCAACCGTCTACCTAAAACCATGTCAAAGGAGTTTTCCCTGCGTTAGTTTTCATTGTATTAATACTCCCAGTAGTTGGGGTAAAGAGTTATTTTTAATAATGAGGATTTTTTTAATGAGTGATAATAGAATGGTAACCCCGCCTGCGCTATCAGTATGCGCTGGCGAGGAATCAATGAGAGATGATAGATGAGAATGAAAGTAGGTCAGTTAGCCAATTGTGACGAATTCTATTAGTATTAACCAAAATATTAATAGTATTAACCCAGAGGAAACACGTGGAGGTCGAATTGACACTATATTGCTAGCGAAATGGGGATGTTAGGCTCCGTTACTAACAATATACCCCTATGTCTAGTCATTTAGAAACTAAAGTAATTAATTTGTAGTGCATTTACTACGACGGGCTAACTTATCTGTCTTTCTTGAGTTTATTTCATCTTCCACCGGTGTTATAGGAGCGACACCCCCCCTCCACTCCTGTTGGCGGTTATAGGTTTACCCTGGGATCCAAGCGAACCTTTAGCTAAGCGTAAAAAATATATCTGAGTACACGTATAATGTATACGTGTACATTTGTATTTATACATGCCTTTTTTAAGGGAAAAGGCTTCTGGAAAATTAAATACAGCAATGACGGTGCTTTTATATATCATTAGCACAGGTTGTAGTACCATTCTATCTTTATCCATTAAAAAAGTCCACATTCGGCTCTAGGGAATAATATATTAACGGGTTTTAGTTCGACAGAAAACCTGATTTCAGTCGTGGTAAAATTAATACAGCACGGAGGTATCTCTTTTCTCAATATTGGGTAGTAATTTTGAATTCGTACAAATTTTGGGCAAATGAAGTAGTTGGGGAAAATTTTGGAGAAAAATTAAATGAGCGTAGATGCATTTGGTTAATTTTTTAATAGGTTTGCTATTAAAAACCATGTAACGCTCAGTATATAAATTTAGTAGAATATACTCATGTAGATTTAATACTAAGAAGGTAAAGAAGTCAGGGGTTTGTTTTTCGTCGTTTGCGTAGTGGTTACATGGCAAATGTGACAAAACGTAATGAAAACCTATGCAAGTTTGTGATTGTGAAAGAAAAACTGAATGACATCATATCAGTTTGGAGACATTTTTAACATTTGGGTAAAAATAAAAATTCGCATATGGGCGAGAGTAAGCCTTACGAATGCAATGCAAGGCAATTTTAAACAATATACAAACGTTGTTTTTGCAGGTCGTATACGAAGATACTACTTATGTAGTTTCAGGAAACAATTAATTTAAATGTGGTCAAGTTGTTTAGTGGGACGCCCGGACGATCTAATAAGACCGCAACATTTTCAGCGCATGCTCCTTACTGGTAATATGAATCAATATGTTTGTAGAGAAATGCAGCAATAGTCACGCAAGTTGCGGCTTTAACAAATCGTAGACTTGTAACTAGGTATTAGCGAAAAGTGAGGTTTCTAATTTCACAGTGTATTCGTGTGACGGTGAAGTGGCCGTGGCGGAGAGCGAGAGTTCGGGAGTGGCGGGAGGCGTCGGCCTCGCCGTGAGTAGTAAGGTTGGTATCGAAATGACACACAAAATTAAAAATATAAATAATATCATAAAACATAAAAGTTCTTTTATAAAAAAAGTTACAAGCTGCTAATTATCTAATCTACACCTTTTTTTATAAATTTTGACAGACTGGGTTAATCGATTTTTAAGCAGCTTCTAAAAGAAGGCTGTTTTCATTCTTAATCCTGTACTTTTTCATATTTGAGTACTTATCATTATTGACACTTTGTTTCCTACGACTTTGGTGCTTACATCCATATACTTCTTAATATTATAAATGTGAAAGTGTGTTTGTTTGTTTGTTTATTAGCTTACAGTGCCTTAATGGCTTAACCAATCACTACGTTTGGTATAATACACGTATTATATGGAATGGAGACGGATGTTATAGGCTACTTTTTATCAAAGTCAGTAAACATATCCGGTCACAGGTACGAAGTCGTGGGTAAAAGCTAGACAGTGTATAAAATATCCTATGTGTCAGGATATACCTAACGACAGAATCTGCAATTTGGATATAACCTACTAGTGTAACTTTTTAAAAACATATAAAAATATTATATGACTTTATGGAAAAGAATAACATATATTATTTATATTATTGCTTAGGCTTGTATCGTTCGCTGCTAATTCCTATCAATGATAGGAATTATAAGATATTTTTTGTAGCGATATTTTTTTATCTTCTCCAGATATAAAGTGTATTTTCCAAAGGAGATATATCGTTTATGTATGAGTGGGTTACAGCCACAAATTATTTTTATAATTAATTAATTTTTTTCATACGCACAATGGCCCAAATAAGAGGCTAAGCGCGGAAAATGGAGTCCTTTTCACATTCAGCCACAAATTAAGTACTGCGGCGTTTCTTCCTCGTTGTGACAAAATTTGCAAACACTTTTTGGACATAAGCCTAGGTGGGTCATATGCTTGTTTAGTTTGAAGTGTACGGTGAGAGTCCTTGTTAATACACACATATTATTTTTACTCAAAGGATTAATTTCTTAGAGTAATTTCCTGAAAACACCCTAATCAGGGCTTTCGAGTTATTTAATCCTGGCAACAAGAGCCAGCTATTATTTACTCCTTATAAGCTTTCAAGTTTGAGATGTCTGAGCTTTAGACTTTGAGGTATGCCACAATAAGGTTCTGGTTCTATTTGGGCATTTTTTGCCCCATTCTTTTGCTAATTGGTCAAGGATAACTTATAACAAAAGTAACATTTAATCTATATATTCAAAGAATGAAATCCTCAGCACATTGTCCCAGTGTCTGAACAGTCCCATTCAAAAGTATTGGTTGTCCGTGCACCAAGACAGGAACATTAAATAATGTTCTCTTGCGTCTTGCTATATTATTTACTTTTACTTTTTATAAATTATAAATTTTCTACATATTTTAATTTTTATGTTTTTCTTTTTGTATATTTTGATTGTTATATTTTTATATTTTTTTATATGTTATCCGTGCACGTTGTAATACAATTGTACCTCTATGGGCTAAGTACCTGATAATAAAGAATTATTATTATTATTTTTATTTAATTTGTTATATCTCTCATTTAGAGGTAGTTTTAGACACGGGCCAAAGCCAAGTGTTTTTGGAATGTCAATTCAATGATAGGAACTTACGTACCAGGCGACATGTATTTAAAATTGCTGCTTTTTGGAGGAGTATATATGTGGAGGGTTGTATACATAATGTATGGAGACTTGTGTGTAAGGTTTTCGGGATAACACCCGTTGTAGATAAAACTATTGGTATTGTTTTTACTGTATGAACTCGCCATTGGGATTTTATTTCTATAGAAAGATCTGTGTATTTAACTAGTTTTTCAGAGTGTGTTTTTGTCAAATTGTGTGTGTTGCATATTGCTATGTCTATAAAGTAAACTATTTTATTGTCTTTATCAAGAATAGTAATATCTGGTCTGTTATAATGTATTGTTTTATCTGTTATAATAGTTCGATCCCAGTACATTTTGTAACGTTCATTTTCTAATACTGCTGATGGTTGATATTTATAATAAGCTATTTTTTCTGTTATTAAATTGTATGTAAATGCTAAATACTGGTGGATTATTGCTGCAACTTGGTCATGTCGGTGTTTGTAGTATGTTTGGGCTATAGATTTACAGGCACCGGTTATATGTTGAATTGTCTCTGGAGCTTCATGACAACGGCGACAGATGTCTACTGAAATATTTGTGTGGGTGATATGCTTTTGGTAGTTTTTGGTGTTAATTACTTGGTCTTGGATTGCCATTGCAAAAGCCTCTGTTTCAGGAAAAAGATCTCCATGAATCAACCATGCATTCGATGCTTTTTTATCGACATGATGCTGTTGTAAATCCTTTTGATGTCTTCCGTGCAGTGACTTTTGCTGCCAGGTTAAAATCTTGTCCTTGTTGTCTGTTATTTTTTCATTCCCTTGAGTTGTCCTATCCCGCAAGTTTAAAGGCGTTAGTCGCATGTCTGTTTCTATAATTACTTTGTGGAGATTCGAGTTCACTGCTCTTGTGTAGAAGTAATTTCTTAAGTTTGTAATCTGTTTGTTATGGAGATTGGTGATATCGCTTATTCCTCTTCCTCCCTCATGTCTTGGTAATGTTAATCTTTGTATACAGGATTTTGGATGGTGCTTGCGATGTGTAGTTAATGTCGTGTTTATGATTCGCTGCAGGTTTTTAAGATCTGTTTTAGTCCAGTTGATTATTCCAAATGAATAAGTTAATACAGGGATAGCGTAAGTATTGATGGCTTTAGTAAGGTTACGTGAATTCAGCTGAGAGCGTAATAATGCGTTTAATCTATGTTTAAATTTTTTGATTAAATCTTGTTTAACCTGTTTTTGGTGTATTTGGCGTGATTGTTGGAATCCCAAATATTTGTATGAACTGTGCGGGTCAAGTGGTTCTATCAAATCCCCCGAGTTTAGTTCATATTCAGCATTTATTATTTTACCATTGGAGATTGTGAGGCTTTTACATTTATCTACACCAAATTGCATGTATATGTCATTAGAGAAAGTTTGTGTTAGATCTGCTAGCTTATGGAGTGTTTGTATATCATTACTGTAAAGTTTTATGTCGTCCATAAACATGAGGTGTGACAATTTTGTTTCGTTTTCATCTGATGATATTTTTAGTCCTGCGTCGGATTCATTGAGTATTTGGGAGAGTGGATTTAGGGCGAGGCAGAACCACAGGGGACTCAATGCATCTCCCTGGAATATGCCTCGCCTTATTGGAATGTCAGCAGTTTGTATAATATTACTACCGTTGATTAATTTTAATTTTGTTTTCCAGTGTTTCATAGTGGATTCTAGGAGTGCTATAATATTTGGATGAATTTTGTAATGGTGAAGGATATACAGAAGCCAGCTATGTGGTACAGAATCGAATGCTTTGCGGTAATCTATGTACATTACACTGAAATCTTTCTTTCTTAGGGAAACTATTTTCATTGCTATTGTGTCTATTGTTAACTGTTCTTTACAGCCCCGACTATTTTTGCGACAACCCTTCTGCTCTTCACTCAAAATATTGTTCCTTTCGATGTGATTATATATTAAATTAGTGAGACATGATGTAAGTATTTTATATATATTCTGTAAACATGTAATAGGTCGATACTTTCCTGGATCTTGGTGTTCCTGATCTTTAGGTATCATGTACGTTATGCCCTCCGTAACAAACTCTGGTATAGTGTCTGGGTTTTCTATAAAACTATTGATATGATTATGCAGTATTGGATGCAGTCTACTAAATTTTTTGTACCAGTAATTATGGATATTATCTGTTCCTGGAGCTTTCCAATTGTGCATTTTCTTTATGACATCATCGAAAACTTGTATTGGGACATGTTCATATTGCATGGCAGTAATCTTGTCCAAAAGTTGTGCGTTCGTTTTTATCCAGCCTGCAGCATCGTTGTGTGATACTGGGTTAGCCCAAATGTTAGACCAGAACCTATGTAAGTCTTCAGCTGACGGCATTGTCACCGTTGATTGTGTGTTAGTACCTGTAGGTGTATTTTGTGTATTTAATGTGAGCTGTCTATAAAATTGCTTTTCGCTGTTAATGAATTGAGAATTTTGTTTTTTTCTTAATGTGCAGTTTACGTATCGCTTTAATCGACTTGTTGCAGCGTTTAATTTTTGTTTTAATGTATCTAAGACCTGATTGTCAGTAACGTGGGGTTCTTCGTGTTTAGTATGTATTTTATATGTGTTTTTGATATTGTCTATGTGTTGTTTCAATCTTCTACTTCTGTTACCCCTCATGTATTGTATCATCCTTCCAATGTCTCTTCTTAAATCTTCTATTTTTTTACGTAGTCTCTGTTGCCAGACTGGAGTATAGATGGTTTGGTGTATATCAGTTCTTTGTTCTTTGATTTTTGTCCCGTTGCAGATTGCTGCAGTAAAAGCCGCACAATATAGTGTCGTGTGTGTTTTTATGAAATTTTCATTTTCTGTTATTTGTTTCGACAATAGTTTTGTATTTATGTAGTTGATTATATATTTCAGCTTCCTAGAGACTTTTTGTTTTGGTATGTAAGGTCTTTCTGTAGGATTTGTATCTTTAAAACGGCTAAGTGTTTCTTCAAATTTAGCCATAATATGTAAATCTAACTGTGAGTTTGTATATGTGATGGATTTACTTCTATTGTAATAATGGTTATTAGTATCTGTCATCTGGTCGTTATCTTGGGAATTTATAGAGGTATTTTGTGAAATAGAAGTTTGAATCGTCTGTATGTTATTTGGTCTTGATGAATTTGTACTCGCACAAATCTGGTTTTCAAGACTAAGTTGTAAATAAGGTGTTGTTAAAACAGATTCTACTTCTCGTTTTATTTCTTCTAACCGTTGATCGGTAATATATTTATTTACTATAATTGCTCGACGTTGATCTGCAATTCGTTGTTCTGAAAGATGTTCTAATTGTGGGAATTGGTCTATTACACTTGCATGAAGCTGTTTACGGTATGCACATTTATTTGTTTCAAGCTGAGTGATTTTGTAATAAGATCTAATGATTGACTCATTCATATCGTTAGTCCAGTTGATTCTTCTAGATGAATTACGTGCAAAAGTTGTTTCAGGTAATAATTGGTTTTCTTGGTTAAGAATCTCTGAGACTTCTTTCCTCAGATCAGTTAACACAATGGATGGAAGGAGTTTATTCCTCAAAATTGCTCGTCGTTGGTCCCCTACACGCTGCTTTGATACTTTCATGTCAGGGTATTTTTCGACGAATTGTCTGTGTAACGGTTCTAGGTATCCTTTGACTTTTGTTTCTAATGCAGTTATTATGAGATAAGTGCGCCATATGAACATATTCATGTCTTTAGTCCACTTTTTTATTATTATTATTATTATATAACACTAAAATATTGTAAATACGATACCTAGGTAGGTAGACTTTCAAATACAACGTAGTCATTATTCAGATAAGATTAGAAAGTTATTGTACTTTATTGATTTGATTTGATTTTAATATAGTCGCGTTAGAATGTTAGATAGCAAGTATATACGAGTATATTTTACCGCTAAGAAATAGGTGAAATAATTACGGCTCAATTATGATTAAGAGTGGTCCCATCGTTTTATTAAATTACTAAAGTAGGTATGAAAGAATATTTTTATATTAAAAATATCTGTTCAATAGAGGGCGACTGTATAAAAGTCAACTGCATGGGCACCTCTGTCTCACCCAAGTTTTTAGCATGAAGTAGCTGTGTTTAAGTGGGATATAGCAAAGTATGAAAGGTTTTATGAACATCACAATGTACCCCATTTATGGTGCTGCTCCCGTGCATACATGTGTTTTACTTTTCATCAGGTGGGCCATCAGTGACTTTGTCTTTTCTAAGGTGTCATAAAAATATGATACCGATGATTTTCCTTACCAATTTATAAATCTGAAAGTATGTTTGTTACCTACATCTTAATCGTTTTGAAATTTTATATGCCCGTATATTATTACATTATTACCTACTAGTATTTAGGATGGGGGGGGGGGAGAAGGGATTGTTAGTAATGAAGCAATTTTAAATTGGGATCACTAGCAATATACCCTCCCGGGTCGACCTCCACGCGGTTCTCCCTGGAAACCTTCATTGATTTATTGTTGAATTGGTTGCGATGGGCCTACTGACCTGATCCATCATCATCTATCTTCCCTCACTGGAACCCTGCCAGTTTATACCGATAGCGCGGGCCAGGTTACCATTTCATTATCACCCATTAAAAAAAAAAAAACTAGTATTTAGGATGGAGAGGGAATAGGCTACTTTTTATCAACCGAATTAAAAAATAGTTGTATTTTTTTATGTTTATTACTCATCATTTATAAACCGATTTGGAAAATTATTTTTTATCTGAAAATATATACACTTTCGGATTGATCCCATAGAAATTTTATAAAAATCGGTTTAGTACTTTCGTTTTTAAACCAAAATAACCAGTTTTATCACTATTGAAGTCGGCGTGGAACAAAATTTGGAATTATTTAATACTTATTTTTTAGTAACGAGTTTTATTCAAATTATTGATATGGCAAGTTGATAATCCAATTGTACCAAACACAGACTACAGATATAAAAAATTGAAAAAGAACTTAATATTCCATTATTTTTTTATAACTTGCATAGATTATCAAACAAGACTATGGCTTAATGTTGGTGGAAAGGAAAGTGGTAACTGTCAATTGTCGCTTACATAAGCACCATGCGCATCACATAATATATTGTAAAGTTCATGGATTGCCATTCCTGAAGTTTTAAATTACACTTAGGTGTACCCAAGTCCGGGGGCGGCGCGCGGCGTATGGGCGCTGCCGCAGCCGCCCCCATGTACCATGGCCGCAGAAGAACCGTTACCACCGTGCTCGCCTCTATCGCCTGATGCTCCGGCGGCCCCTCCTAGAACCATTACCAGTTACAGCCAGCATTCAGACCTGCACCAACTTATATTTGAGGCAGTGCGCTCGGGGTTAGTACATTATACTAATCTAGAATTTAGAACAGGTAATAGGTTAATATAAAGGTTACCAGCTGTACGTAAAATTAAGAATCATTCTATGCTATAAAGTAGCAATCTCTAAAGTGTATTCCGCGGACTCTAGGGATTATGTAGAAAAGTCATTAGGGTTCCGCGAATTTTTTTTTTAATCTGTGAAATATAATGAATGAATGAAAGAAAACTCTTTATTTACCCTTCAAAGCATGATATAGAAGTGTACATTATTAAGTACAACTATAATATTATTTTGAAATGATATATATAAAAGTTTAAAAAAAGAATTAAGTTTTTCACGTTTAAAATATTTGTAATAAATTATAGTCTTTGATTTTTAATTATGTGATATAGGGTTTCAAAAAATAAAAGATATTTGATGGGTGTTCCGTTATCTTAAAAGTTTAAGAACCCCTGCTGTAGAACATATTAGAACCAGAGGCGGCTTTACCTATGGTATAGGGTGTGCAGCGCACACAGGCACAGTGTGTCCAAAAGAGCATGCGTCTCTCGCGAGCATCCTTAAAGATTTTGCTAATGCAAAAGCACAAACAGTAACTTTTTTATAAATATATTTGTCTAGTATTAAGAGTGTTTTGTAATATAATTAATTAAAAAAAGTCTTTAAAATACTTTAAAATTATGCTTTTTTATTCTTCTAATCCCTTCCTACCTAAACAATATTTTTATTTTTACTCATATACCTATTGCTTCCTCATATTATTTAAAATTGCACTATTTAGACCCGAATTTCTGTTCACTACTAAAAATATAACTGTAAGTATAGGTGTATCATTTTGACCGTGCGTCTATTAAAGTGCACCAGGATATTGATTGCACACGGGCACTACATGGGCTAGAGCCGCTTTTGATTAGAATGAAAATATATTGAATTAAAAAAAAATCAAAGGATCAAAGATTTTTTTTTCAATTATCGAGCCATAATCCTTTGAGAAAAACATTGGTAGAATATTCTCTTAAAAGAATATATAGTTTATGACAACTAACGCCTTTTTCTTTACTGTAAGCAAATACATAGATTGCTACATGAGCTGTTTCATTTTGAAAATTAATTCTACAACATTTATGTAATGAGATAAATATAATGTTTCGAAATTCAACGACAGTTTTGAAGAAATCAAATTACTCCCAAAAAGAACATGGGTCGTACAGTGAAAATATTTTTTAAATTTCTTAATAAATCGTGCAGTCACAATCATGATAAAAAATGCAAAATTAAAAAAAATATATATATTGGTATACTCTTCAATATGAGTAATATAATAACTTAATAAACTGGACATATGTATTACACAGCGACATTTAATTCTGTACTATTTTTTTTTTATACAACTTAGAATGGCAAACAAGCTGACGGCCCACCTGATAGAAAGTGGTAACCGTCGCCTATAGACATGAGCAGTACTATGGACATAACAGAGTATACTGTTTCACCCATGATACCTCCCATGCGTTGCCATTCCTGAGGACTCAGGTGTTATTCCCCTGTACCCTGTAAATTCACGCCATATCCCACCGTTCAAACCGAAACACAGCCATGCAAACACAACTGCTTCACGGTTGAAACACGAATGGGACAGAGGTACCCAAGCAATCGACTTTTGTACAAAGTCTCCCTCTGGTAAACTAAGTAGTTCTTATACAACTACATATTTAGATACGTTTTTATTAATATGAGTACATAGTGCATATGTACGAGTATTAAAGATGAAAAACGTGACCAATACAAAAAAAAAAAACTCATGCATACAAATGTTTCTATAATATCGAACCCGCAACAATAGGGAGGCACTGTATGCTACGCCATCAAGGTTCTTAAATATGAATACTATGAACTATTATTTTTTATCGATTTCAGCTTTGTATATCTTTTATAGCACACTTTGTGTGGGTACTTCTACCATTTACGTGGAGACTTCTGTCTCGCTCGTGTTTTTACCGCAAAGCAGCAGTGCTTGTACGAATGTAAAAATGGTGGTCAAATTACAGAACACGGAGGCATGAGGAGTACCATGGTTAGTGTATTCTGTGATGTCCATGATGCTGATTTTATCCATAAGCAACCATTACCGTTGGGTGATGTGAGTGTTAAATAGTTTATTTGCTAGTCTAAGTTGTATGTATAAAAAATAATAAAACCGTAGTAGATAATCCTATTTTATTGGGTTTGTAGCGAAGTATCAGAAATCGAGCGCCTTGTTGAAAAATTGGGTGCAGAAGTATTAACTGCCCGGGATCAGCATGGATACACACCTGCTCACTGGGCAGCGTTGGATGGCAGTGTAGCAGTTATGAGGTATTTGGTCGAAAGAGGAGCGCCCATCGATCTGTCCTGCTTAGGCACACAGGTTAGAATAAATTTTATAATTCCAATTTTCTATATTATTCCTCGTAACGCAGACTTCTTTATTATCATATATGAAGCGCGCATGGATTCTGGTTTACAATCATTTCTATCATATAAAATTTTGTAATGTTATTAATAATATTTATTAGACACTTATTCGGTTTATAACTATATTAAAATAAAAATCTAAAAAAAATTCGATACCTAATTTTTAGACAAAACTCTTTATCACATTTCTGTTACAAAGGGGCCTAGACCAATCCATTGGGCTTGCCGGAAAGGACATGCATCGGTGGTACAAGTGCTACTGCAATCGGGTGTCGCAGTTAATGCTGCAGATTTTAAAGGTATTACCTAAATATATCTATTATTTACTTGCCTAAGTATTAAGTACTACCTAAGTACTGCGCAATTTTCTCTATATGTGAATTTCACTATCAGCTAAGAAAAGATCGTGTAGACATGTACAATGTTGATATCATAGTTTAACTCTATTATCGCGTTAATTTCGATCTCTTTTTAAACATAAAACATGTGCGTAATTTTTAACGGAACTAATTTTCTGTCTCAATCCACAGAAGGGCAAACTTATACCAGAAATATATTCATTCGAGGATTGTAACTACTAAGACACGACATTCGTTCATATACATAGTCTTGGGTCGGAAATGACTATAGCATAAGCATTGATAATTTCATATAACTTTTCAGGTTTAACTCCCCTAATGACGGCTTGCATGTATGGCAAAACAGCAACAGCAGCATACCTTCTGGGAATGGGAGCAGCGACCCGACTATCAGATATCAATGGAGATACGGCCTTACACTGGGCTGCTTACAAAGGGCACGCCGATTTAGTTAGGCTCTTAATTTATTCAGGTGTCCCTTTACACTGCACAGATAACTTTGGTTCAACACCCCTACATCTAGCTTGCTTATCTGGCAATCTCACGTGTGTCAGATTGCTTTGTGAGAAGGTTAGTCAAAATATTATTTTTGAAATTTCTAATTTTAAATTTGAATGAAAACTGTATAAAAAGAAGCATCTGTGTCTTTCAAAGATGATATAATATTGTAAGTTATGGTCATAATAATACAAAAAAAACTACATTAGCAGTCTGATACGGTATTTGCATATGTCACAATATCTTATAACAATATGCTAATCATATGAATTTACAGATGTTTTTTATCATTGTGAGCTAATATTTATCGATTTAGTCAAACAGAAACCAGATTTTGTTATATTTACTTTATAATTTTGTATATTATTATTTACTATGTATTTTTATCAGGTGAAAGCCGAATTAGAACCTCGGGATAAAAATGGGAAGACGCCATTGATGCTTGCACAAAGTCATCGCCACGCGGAAGTGGTGAAATTATTACAAAAAGAAATGAAACGTAAATCGCACTGGATGCCTCCACTATCTGAATTGTGGGCTTTATTGTTTGGTGGCGCTGGCGATTCTAAAGGCCCTCTCTTGTTTTTCCTCATTTCCGTATTATTATGGGGATATCCTATGTATGTGATACGAGTAAGTAATCGCATTTATCTAAAGCTTTTAAAATATTTAGATAATATTATAACTAATCTGTTCAATGTCTGTCTTATGTGGTATAGAAAAGAAAATTATAAGAATTTAATTTAAAAAAATATTGAAGTAGGTAACCCTTATGTTGCACATTATTAAGTAACAAAGCGCTAAATATCGATTAGGGAAAGATATATTATAATTCTAGCATCACTTTCAATATGGGTAATAGTATCTTCAGAGTTCTTTATTGGTTTCTAATTTAAATGTTGGTTTTCTTGTATTTTGTAACACTGTGTTGTGGATGCGACACAGGATACCCAGACTTTGTTTAATAAATTGACGCGGTTGGGATTGAACATGGGGCTTCATTGTAAAAAAGTGTCAATATCACTGCGATCGGAGAACTTCGAACTTGATACATACCTGTTATTTTTCAGTGTATACCATTAACATGGAATACTCTACGACTTTCACATTATTGTTTCCTTTACTGGAATGCTATTATGTGGTTGAGTTGGGTGATTGCCAATCGACGGGATCCTGGCTACATTCCGCAAAATTCTGAGACCTATTATCGAGCCATTAGACAAATACCTTATTACGACAAGTGGAAGAAAAGAAATGTTATTCTTTCAAGGTTGTGTCACACTTGTCGGTGTCTCCGCCCTTTGAGGTAAATATTTTTTATATTCACTTGCATTTTATAACTTATTATGTAAAAGGAATAAAGAGTATCGATATCGAAACTTCTTGTCTTTATAAATAAATGCTTGGTAAATTACTGTATATAAATTTCTATAGAAATATTAAAATATCAAATCACATTAATTATCGTTTGATTAAAACATTTCAAAGCAGGCAGGACTTGCACTTTTGATGCTATGCTAAGACTAAAAAAAGAAAGAAAGAAATACATTTATTGCCAAACAACAAAAAGAGTTACATTTATCATCAATAGAAAATAAACTTTACATTTGTTATTACCAACGTAGCCGCCACTCAGCATGTGCTGCAGCGAATTAGTTGCTACAGAGCTGATCTGTGGTGGACATGCGTGACGTCACGAACGACGATAGCAAAAAATAATAATCATAATAAAAATACAATGGAACACAGACAGTTGTTGCTCATACATTTATAATTATTCATTTACATGCATACATACTACATACATATATATATACATAGCAGACAAGATATATTCATATAGACACATATAATAATAACACAGTATTGAGAATCTCCATATTATACAATGAAGCAGCATTGTTATACAATCACAAGGAATTACATGTTTTTATTGTAGATTTAAATGACAATTCTTAGCATATTGTTTAAAAGTATAAGTATAATTAAGTTTTTAAAGTTCGACTAGTGCTTATTACAATTAAGCTGATCAGTTATCGATCCATGTCACTTGTGAAAATTGCTTAGTTTCATGATATTGATGGGGTTCAGCTTATTAGTTAGGTATACACTTTGTTACACTCTGTATGTACGTTTTTCAGAGCGAAACATTGCCGCATTTGTAAGCGATGTGTTGCGTACTTCGATCACCATTGCCCATTTATTTACAACTGCGTCGGAGTCCGGAATCGGATGTGGTTCTTTCTATTTGTGATGAGTGTTGCGATCAATTGTACGCTGTCCATATACTTTGCCTGTTACTGTTTGCTGTTGGAAGGATTTGGATTGCTTTATGTTTTGGGGTTGTTAGAGGCGATTACATTTTGCGCCCTTGGCTGGATCCTCACCTGTACCTCGGTGAGTAGAACTTAAAGGAAGATAATCTACATTACCTATTATTACTACTACTAAGAGGAGATACAAAGTATTTTTTATTAATTAGATTATTTTAGAATATTGTGCCTTATATTATGAAGAAATATTTTTTAAAGTACTACACAATCATATCACCCTACCTACCCTATCCTATAAAAAAATAAACATCGAACATCTTGAGACTATATAGGACGCCTAAATCGACCTGAAGGAGTATCGATCCCGGAACCTCATTTATGCAAATCAACATATGTATCACTGTGTTATGGAAGTCATCATTTATACTTGGGTACTTGCATTAATAATATTATTGAATTTAGTTTTTTATGCAATTTAAAAACAGTAGAGGTCAAAAACAGTGAGTAGTAAGCAGAACCGGTTTGATACTTAAGAAAAAAGAATAGACAAATGTTTGTAATGAGTAGACTTAAGAAATACATAATCGAATTTAAAAATTATTTCACTTATGGAAAGGTACATTATCAGCGGGTAGCAAAAGTTGTATTTTATTTAAAGAAAACCGTGCGAAGCTCAGGGCGGGTCGCTGGTTTTCCTAAAAATAAAAGTTAGACCTAACGAACATAGACAAATATATATTTTATTTAATTCTAAATGTAAGTAGTATCTCAACCATATACCTGGAATTAAATTTCGCAAGCAGTCTTTATTTGACTTACTTTTATTTTATATATATATATATATATATATATATATATATATATATATATATATATATATATATATATATATATATATATATATATATATATATATATATATATATATATATATATATATATATATATATATATATATTGTTTCGGGCTTAAATCAGCCTACTGACTAAGGTAATGCCTGTGTGATTTTTTTTTCTTTTTTTCCAGATACTACATGCCTGTATGAATCTAACTACAAATGAAATGTTTAATTACAAAAGATATCCATATTTAAGGGACAAAAGGGGCCGTTATCAGAACCCTTTCTCGAGAGGTCCAATTATGAACTTGATCGAGTTTTTCGTGTGCCTTCCCGATAAATGTGATGAACAAGACATATTCCATGAAGAGACCATATGATGTGAGATGGCTTGACAAAGTGCTAATGTAGTCTCGAAAAGGACTCAAGATATTGATATTTGGTTTAATCACGTACAATCTAAACGTGCTAAAAATTTAAAACAATTTAACAAATAATTAATATATTATATGTTAAGTAATTTTTTTTTAAATTACTATAAGAGACTATGCCGAAAAGATTAGATGAGAGTTTTTTTTGCATAGAACTAAATTGTGAATTTTTGTCTTTAAGACTTATACGCGTTATGCTACGCAATATTGATGTGTGTGACTGTAGGGTTGGATTGGGCCGAAAGGACCCGGGTGGTTGACCACAAACCCGGGGTCCGAGACTAGATGATGGTAGTTGCACCAGTTGCTAGCGGCACCATAAGCCCCGCAAGCCAGGTTCATGGGAGGCCCACGCAGGCTGGAGTGGCAAATGCCACCTCGACTATATGGCCAGTCCGACGCTGTGTGACTGTGTCTCTTTTTTTGGGATAAACAAATACCGTTATAAACATTAAATATTTGCTTTATTTAAATTGTCGATTTCAGATAGTACGCTTGTGTACCTATAGAGCTTGAAACTGACTATATAATTATTAGCTGTTTTTTAAATTTGTGTTGCTCGTTGGTAACTACATATTTTTCAAATCACTACTTACAACACAGGATTAAAAATATTAAGCGCTATCGTCACAGATAATAAAATACTATCTATTATACTATAGAGTATCTATCGTGAATTTTATTTATCTACCTACTAATCTATCTATTCATTATAGTTGATAGTGTATAAAAATTATGTGAAAGTTCAGTATTAGTAAAAATATTTATGATAACATTTTTCGTAAAATAATAGTAAATATAATTTTGTATGATGAAGATAATTAGGTAGGTAGGATAATAAAATAGTCTTAATACCATTGTATTCGGTTTAATTTAGAAGCAAATCCTCCATAAAACACAGCGTTCTATATATTTTACCTTACCATTAGGGTCATCGATCCAATTTTCTTAGTTAAAGGGATAAGTGGCATTAACCATGATGAGGGTTATTGGTAACCGGCACCTCCTAAAGATATTTGTCAGATGTAAGAAATACATGCCGCTATAGGCATTGTCAACAGAACACTTTCTGTGTATAGACACATGATCGTTACATTTCAGTTCTCCATAACACCGAATATAGTATTAAAGCTGTCAAATAAAGGTACTAGTTAACTTTAATTCTCCCTAAAAATTTTTAACGAGTTTAATTTTGGTGACACCACCTTACAAACGTAAAGGACTTCAAAGTCCCAGGATATTGAAGTACCTAATATAATGTTTTTGTTATATAAATACAAAGAGTTTGACTTCCCACCTTAAAAAAGTTTATGGTATTGGTTTTATGTATCATTTTATCTAAATAATAAGGATTGTGTTAAACAAATGTGTTATTTGAAGCAAAACCAGCGATCACCGTTACTATTTGTGTTATTACCAATAGTTAACAATAGCTATTAATAAGTAGGAATATATGATTCGGTGCCTGTGATAATTACCTACGGCTAAATTATTTAAAACTTATTATCTATGTACTGTATGACGCAAATAATTTTATTATTATAAGTGTACGTTGGTAGCGAGATGAAAAGGAACAGTTGTCCAAATACAGAATGATTGCGTTGTATGTTATATCCATATTTTCTTATCTACACAATTGCTTATAATAAAAAAAATAACAATATCATTAATGGTTTTATTTCACATTGCCTTCGTGTAATTTTTAAATGATACTTTGTATGAGACATAATGGCTAGGTGTATTGGGCTTACTCGGTAGTTGTACAAACGGGAACCCGGGATCCAACATAAGCGCCTCGAGGTACGTTGTGTGGTTTTTAGTGGGTACGAATCCCACACACCCCAGCTGCCCTCCCTCCGGCAGATGAGACAGTCTTGCTGAAGATTTTCCACACGTTAAAAAAAAAAGGTGTATTGGCCTTATTAGAAGTAATATGTGGTAGGTAAGTGCATATCAAGCCGTATAGTACCTATTCAACCAAGTAGTGTAGTCGAAATCTTAAAATATTATTTGTACTTTTCAAACTTCACAAACCCCAATTTTATTTTTGTACAGTAATAATGTAATTTTGTTTACTATTTATTTGACCTATACATATATCACTATACATAATATCATCATCATCATTATATCAGCTTTTGATTGTCCACTGCTGAAGTAGTTGCCTGGATTGGCAGGCGATTAAAAATATTGGGGACTCCAAGATCTATCTACAGTAAATTTGTGCAAAAACAGAATATTATTAACAATGGACGATTTTGACATTGATATTTTGGATTCAGGGCCTTTGAAAAAAAAATAAATTCCAAGGAAGGTTTGCAACAATTTTAAAGTTATTGCAGGAACATTTTCAAAAGATTTTTTTTTTTATAAAAATAAAAGAAAAATATTAAAGATGCATTGAAACGTTTATTTTTAATATTATAAATATCAAATAACAGTTGTTATGTCGTAATGAGCATAGGACATGCATGCACATGGTTTTAGTTAATTAATTAGATATTAACAACTCACAGAACCCATGTCTGTTTAAATGTAAGTTAAATCTAAATATAAAACAAATAGGTGTGAATGTTATTTGATAACTGATATAAAATTTATTATATCTCACAGTCTCTCTAATAATAGATACAGTATCCACACTAAATATCACAAGTCTTATACACATCAGTCAATGCATATTGTAAATAGCACACAATTGTCACGGGATAAGACAATTTTATTGTCATAATTTATAAGTCTATGCATTTACAATGTGCAGATAATCTATTTTTATCTTATATACCACATACGATCCTTAAAATAAATATATTTCATATCGAAAAATATCAATAATTAGTAAAAATATTACTGAATTCTGAAGCACTGTACAATATGTGTACCCAAAGATTATGCAAAAAAATATAAAGAATACAATAATCTATTATTGGTTAATATATATACTATATACATTTATGTGGTCACTAATAAATATGTGGTAGATAATACTGATGTGTGGTCTATACTTATCAATCAAATTGATATTCTAGATTGTTAATATACAAAAACAAAACATGTTATAGAAGGATTTGATTACAACTGGGATAGGCTGAATTTAATATAACTTTTAGAAAATTGTGAAATGTGCAGCACGTAGAAATTATAAGTAGGTACAATGGCAACGAAAGATATCCGTTCTGGAATAACATTATTGTTGACAATTGCTAAGTTGTACAAGAGTGTTACATGTCACTAACGAAACAGCTCGGGAAAACTATAGATGGCGTCATAATGTGTTTAACAGGCAATAATATATTTATAATATGGCTATTCACCTAAAGTAACTTTAATACATATAAATATGGTTGTCTTAAGGACATTTGTAGGCTTTTTTTTTTATCAGTAAATAACGTACAATAGGTATTTAAATGGACCAGCCAATAATTACTTAACAAATACATATAAGTGCTTATATCCTATCTTGACACATCTTTTAGACATGTTTGTTCAAGATAAATACCATATATATATAATATCACATTTCTAAGTAGCCCCAAGTTTGTCTTGCAAACTACATTTAAACTTGATTAAAGTTTAAATGAATGTAATGTTTCAAAAATAAAATGATAATTATTATAAAACAACTACAAGCAATAGCCACGGTTCTTCATCAATATAAATTTCAATAAACCCATAGTTACATACTAAATCTCCTTTGTTTCAAATATTAGTTATAATCATCAGAAAATGTCAAGTTTTTGTAAAAAGTCAAATGTAGCCTCAAGTTTTTGACATGTCATTAGCATATTTTAAAATCATAATATAGTGTTCTTGTATTTAATTTACGTACATAAATATTTTTAACTTAATCATCCTTTGGGTTAATTCTTATAGCTGCTTTCTTTTCCTCAGGAGCATGGTCTTTGTCACCCCAGCCCCATAAATGGTGAGTTCCGTCACCAGTGCGCTTGACTCTGTTTTGGATGATCTCTTCAGATACAGTTTTCAAATCATAAGCCCATCCGATCTTGGCAAAGAAATTAATGAAGTTTGTAGTGAAGTTCAACCTATTGTTACCAAGCTCGGCAGTTTTGTAATCCCAGGGGAAAGTATGGTGGTAATTGTGGAAACCCTCGCCGAGTGCGAACAATGAGACAGAGAGATTTTCAGAAGGCTTGATATTCCTATCATAGGGCTTGTGTCCCCATTTGTGTGCGGCTGAGTTGACGAGCCAGGTAACATTTAAGATGAAGGTATATCGGAACATTGTAGCAACGAAGAAAGAGTTCTTCCATGTTTCACCCCAGAAGTAAACAGGTATGATAGTCGGCAAGACAAAGCAAGCCAAGGGCATTAGTATCAGATAGTATCTGAAAAGAATAAATTTCAATAAAATATATTCGAATTCATTCCACTGGGATGGAGTTATACATTTTATTGTTATTGACTTAGGCATAGAAGCTATTTTAACTAATTATGCAAAGTGGTAGCAGTTGCCTATATATATGAACAACACAGAATACATTTTGACATCCTTGGCACATCATACATGATGGGTTTTTTAATATTGTGTTATTATATAGTTTGGCAAAGACAAATGAAGGCCATTGTAATTTCAAATAGTCTATGTAATGATTAAATATATAATTCTGTGTACTTGTTTGTACAGCATGTATGTTACAAGTTGCTCAAACAAGGACATGTTTTTAAAATTGGAAAAAAGTTGATATTTCTAATGAATGTATTTAGTTAAACTGGTTTAGTTATATTTAGTATACATATAATACTCGTTATATAAGCTATAAGCTCATTTAGCCAAATGTTACAAATACAAGTACACATTTTAGCATGATGCGGGAGACCTATTAAATCATAAGAAAAATTAAACACAGTAAGATACATAAATATTCTCTTTGAAATTTTTCTAAATATTTAATCGTGAGAATGGATCGCCGATTATTATTAAATCGATTTCAACTCCAAAAACATCACTAAACATAGTTATTTTACAATAAAAATTACCAACATGCCAGCTGTCGCACGTATCATGCCATAACGCGCATTGGACGCAAAGTGAAAAATCAACATTTTAAGGTAACTTACTTTTTCTGGAATCTAAGAATGGGATCAGCATATAAATCGCTGAGATCTAGTCCTTTGCCCTTTTTCTTCAATTCTGGGTGTTTCCTTACTAAAAGCCAGCCAATGTGCGAGAAGAAGAAGCCGCGTGTTGCGTTGTGAGGATCAGCATCAGTTTCTGAATATTTGTGATGCATACGATGATCGCGGGACCAATCGATTGCAGAGTCCTGTAGCAAAATTTAGATCTTTGATGTACTGTATAAATACAACGGTTCTACTAATAGTAGTTTCTGTAGACTATTGAATGCAGACTACAAAATTAACATATTTTTAAAAGTTCTTTTTTTAATAACCAGGTTGATTAACTCAGTTTAGTAGCTTTGCTACTGTACAAACCCCGGCATTAATTTAAAAATAATTTATGACGCATTAGTTATTTCCCATTATTTTTTATACAACCAAACACTTAGGCAGTACTGTCCGCCTAATGTAAAGTTTTAACCTCTACTCTATGCTACACTATGCCATCCTATCCTACTCACAGTATCCTTCATGCTTTGTCTTACTTACGTACGTAACTATGTGAACTTGTAACGTCATAATTTTAAAAATGTTGCCTAAAATTACGCAATTTAAATTGTCCAGGCAAGTGCACTTAACGTTACTAATGATAAGAAAAACAACAATACAGTACAAACATATAAAAAAGGAATAGTTAAACAATAGTTGATAAAACATCCTTTGACCTCACCATATACAAATAACAATACTTAATTGTTGATGTAAAATATAAAATATCATTATGGTGACATTATTATGATAATATAAGATACTATTTGACCCGGCAAACATACATATATTTTTATATAGCCTAAATTTCGACTAATAATACTATATGTATGTTAATTTACAAAATTAATGGTTTTGTTAAAAAATGAGACATCCGCAAGTGTATTCTAACTCCCTACCTTATAAGCAGGAAATGCCAGGCGGCTTTAAGAGATATAAAAAGATGAAATAAGAGATGTGGTCTACGATTCAGATGATTATTTTTAAAAAATTTCGAAAAAAGAATTAGGTTTTGCACTCATTTGCCACATAATTTTTTTTATGTTTAGAGAGATTTATATTTTTTTTTGTGGATTTTCAAACTACAGAGGTAGACTTCGAAAGGACACCTTAAATAAGTTAAGAGCAGCACTTTTTTATATTAATTTTTTTTTACTATACTAAAAATAAATCCAATACAAAAATTATTACAATGTTAACTATACGTCAAGTCATGCCACTGTGAGATGACTGATTTGACCTTTGGCATTCTAACATCATTGTATAGCGTAGTAGAGAAAATTCTGATATCATAATCGACAACTTAGACCTAAATTAAATATTTGCCTGTAATCTATAAATATCTGTAAATTTATTAATTATACTCGATAATAAATTTATAACCCGCGGCTTTGCTTGTGTAAATTAGAATAAAATGTAAATTTATCTTAATTTCGAATATTATTTACAGTACATCCAAAACTCTGTGTCCATACTATGTCCAGTACATAGTATGGTGATTAAAGTATGATTTGATTATAATATATTTAATGATTGTTATTATTATATTATAAACAATATGTTCACTTAGAATATTTCTTTTCATTTATATATTCTAGATCTTTATAGTAAATAAAAACTCACCTGGAAAGCCAAAGTATTAAATGCAACCAGGATAAGCCTTAGTGGCCATTTAGCTTTGTAGGATTTGTGCGCCCATAGTCGATGAGCTCCCGCCGTGATTCCAAGTCCAGACATCACATACAAAACGTAGGCTGCAAGAAAAATTATTTCATCATACATATGATAATAATAAGTAATAATATAAAATAATAATATTTCGCGTGAAGACAGATAAGTGTTTATAGAGTATATTATTTATTTATCTATTATTGTATATAATACACTACAATACGAGTATTCTTTATGAACGTTGTAATCCAGTGGTATGCTACTCCGATTTATAGTCTGCAAAGGCCGTAAGTTCGATTTTGATTGACAATAAAAATTTTGTGACAATTTAAATTTATGATTAACTCTGTGGTGATGGGGAAGCGAATTATTAGTAAGGGGGGTTCAACGGTTTTATTGCTAGCAATACACTCTGTCAACCTCTACATAGGCTCCCCTGGAAACCATCGTTAATTGTTGTTTATCCTAATCTTTCTTTAAAATCTTTTCAGTGAATGCCGTTATCGATCTATTTTTATTCATTAACAAAAAAAACTATGCGGTGGTGAAAAACACCGAAAATAAACCAAATAGTAGCACATCATTAATTTGTATGAAACAAATTGATTTTGGTAGCTGCTATATTGGATTCTAATTAGCTCAGCGAAATGTAGGTATTGCAAAAATTACGCTCATGACGACAATTTGGCAAATGTCTCTGATTATCCCTTCAGGTATTATAGCCGTGAGCATGTTTTTTAAATTAGTTTTTGATTAACAGTGCATTTCAGATGGCCTCACATATCCTGCTCAGCCTTAAACTTCACAATAAATAAACACGCTGACACTATCTTATCTATTGTACTTATCTAACTAATATAATAAAATTATAACGACGATATTTGTAGATGGGAGATATTTAAGAAAAAAAATGATGTGAGAGGTTTTAATAAAAGTAATAGACGCAAAAAATATTTTTTTGAATTTTGTCTGTCTATTTGGCTGTATGTTTGTTCTGGCATCATGCGTAGAGTACTGCACGAACTTTATACTTGATGCAGTTTTCACAATTAAAGGTTTAATATAAAAACTAGTGTATATTTTATCTTGATACCCTTTTTAGAAGTGGTCAATTTAATTGATTTTTCTACTTCTAAATGCTACGCTTACGAAGTAGTAGGTAAAAAGTAAGTAATATAATAAAATTGCAAAGTCATTATAATCTGATGGTCATTTTTTCGTCAAAATTATTTAGGGAGGCCAGAAATAAGCTATGGAATTCACATCAGACATTTTTACAATTTATAGAAAATTTAGTTAAACCAATAAATGTTAAAATCTTGATTACATCAGAATAAGATTTTAATTATCAAATACAGAGGTATACTTCTTGCGACTAAGTAATTCTAAAAGTTTTATTTATAATGTACATGATTTTATACTAAAAATATTTCTATATATAAATAATGAAAACAATATGCGTGTTAAATTTCACTTTAAAAGTGTTAATATTAGCTAATTCTCATATAAAACAAAAAGAACCAGTTACTAAAATATTATCATACCTACTTAATACCTAATTTTAAAAAATAAAATTCCCGTCATTAAGATTGTTTGCCACAAATAGATTTCATCATAATGTTCACATTCATCATGATAAGGACTTAATAATAACATATCAGTGACATGCTTACCGAATATATCTGTTTGCCATTTTGCAGAAAATAGAAACAGGTATCCTCCATACAACGCTGCTAAGTGTAAATATGTAAAAGCTATAATGTTTCTCCATACATAAATTCTTGGATAATTGTCTGCTTTTTCTACAGGTGGTGTGGCGAGAGCAAAATCTGGAGTGGCAGCGTCACTCTCAAATAACACCCCATTGGCATCTGTGACGTTTGGTGCCATGTTGCACTATTTTGGTATTCTGTGGAAATATTAATTTAATGTAAAAACAAAGTTAATTATTTAATAGTGTTGTTTTAAAATATATAAAATTTTATTTTTAAACACATGTAACACATTGTATTATAGAAATAAATCAAAATAAAGTGAACAGAGATAATTATAAAATATCACAAATGTATAACTTGAACATAATTATGTGATATAACTGAAAAGTTATCTATCTTGGAAAAGATTTTAAATAATTATAAATATCCATATCATTTGTTATGAAGTTATCAAAAGCTCCATGAGCTTCACGTTCCATATATATTTTTGGAGTCAGGAAACAGAAAACCTTATTCTTTAGAATAATATTTTAATTACTGATATGACATGAAATGATATTTTTTATTTGAATTAAACAGTATGAAATGTTGTTGGCCTTATAATATTAATTTGGGCAGCTGTTAAATTGCCTCAAGTCATGTAGGCATAAAAATTTCAGTAATTTATTACATAAAAGAAATTAAGAAATATGAATAACTATGAATGTCTATTTCATGCAGCTTTAATTACTATGAAAAAAATACAATTATTATCCTGGTTTATGTGATTTTTACATTTAAATAAAATTTTTTTCATTTTCTACTAGAATTTCAATAACATATGTATTATTATTATATTTATTAAAAAGAAAATTTAGTTGAAAGCATCAGATATTTTACAGTTGTAGTTAATTTTTTTTTTCACTTTTTCACTATTCACATAAATTGTACTATTATTTCATATTTCTAAAAACAATATATAATTAAAAACTGAAGACGAAACATAAACATCGATATTTGCTAAAATGGATAAAATAAAAATTATATCGCTTGACTTGTTGAATTCGATTTGACGTGCATGTTAATAGTAAACAAACCATCTAATTTGTAAGAACTTAAACATGTAACCCCATAAAAAATTTAATAAAATATTATTTACTTATATCAGTACAAAATAATAATTTTCAGGTTAAGAAATGAATAATAATATTAATAATTATGTATATAGGTTATTTTAAAAGAAATTTAATACATTGTACAACGTAAATAAATTAATTTATAAAAATTGAAAAATATAATATATTTATGTTCACTTACTAAAATCTTAAATGGACGTAATCATAAACTTGGTTGTTCTCACTTTTACACTTACACGTTAGCTATTTACAACGGTATACTATGTTATAATGATAAGGTAAGTTTTGTACACATATTTATACTTTAAAGATAAAGTATTTATTAATTAGTTATGAAAAGCCGGTGAAATCGATAAGTTCACGTGCTAGACTATGGACTACACGTATTTTAAGCGATCGCGGTCCACAAAACGTACTAATCGGAGGGATTCGAATGAATGTATACTAAGTACCGTTAGAATGATTTGAGCGGCGGGTAAAGCTACCAGGGATTGGACAATAAAGTGGCGCGATACTACGACACGTCATTCGGTCACCCATGGGTACGGGATGTCACGAAACGTGGTTATGACAGTAGGGTTACCACTCTTTGAGATTTCTTTAGATTTCTCCCGGCTTGGAGTAAGTTCAGGATGTAGATACCTACGTATATTATATTTTTCGAAACACTTTTATAGTTCCTAATTTTATTGCAAGATTAATCAGAGAAGTTCATTAAATTAATAAAATTAAAAATGGTTAATTTACGTATTTACGAATTTAGTAATTGCCGTTAATAGCACTTTCGTACTCAGAATCGTTTAATGAATCTGAAATATAATAAAATATTTACTAAATGTCCAGGTTTCAATAACTATATGTAATTTTTCTTTTTGATGGATGATAATGGAATAGTATCGCTATCGCCTGCGCTATCGGTATACATTATCGGGGCACCAGTGAAAGATGATTGGTGAGGATGAAAAGGCAGGTCAGTTAGCTCATCGTGACGAATTCAATGATAAATTAGTTACGATGGTTTCCAGGGGGAACCGCTTGGAGGTCGACCTGATGAGGTATATTGATAGGGATGGGGACTAACCTCTCCATTACTAACAATCCCTTCCCCCCAACTATATAAATTGACACATTTTGGGCAAGTGTTAATGGTCATATAATATAAAATTGTATTAAAAAAATAATTTTAGAATGGACTATAGATATGAGTTAAAAATAAAAAAATACAACCTAATTGAGAATCTTTTTCTTTTCGAAATTGATAGAAAAGTGGGTTTTTGAAATATCTATAATTTTTGTAAATTATGGTCATCAATGTCATAAATAAGTCCAATCATAAGAAAATAAGCATCATTACATAGCTACTTATCACAGACATATATATACTTTAAATTTTGCAAATCGTAAATAGATAGATAGGTATACTTTTGATAATTATATTATTTTAATAATAGTAATAATATATTTATCTTTATTTTACTACTCTCAAGGAATATTGTACAATGTACAACTATTTAGGTTTTAACTTAAAATAATTATCCTTATGAGAGTCTGGAGTCTGAACTAGGTCGAAACATTTTTACATTACATTACTGAACATCTACATTATTATATCAATTCAAGTATTGTGAGGTAAGTATTTTTGGTATTTCTATTTTAGAGACGAATATTTGAAGAATATGTTTTGAGTGTAATGTGTGTGTGTGTGTGTGTGTGTGTGTGTGTGTGCGAGCATGTTGTGGGTTTGAGTGCATGTGTTGGGTACGCACTGGTGGGCACCAGTGGGTGTTTTACTTGTATATAGTACTAGCGGCCCGTCTCGGTTTCGCACGGGTGGATATTTTTACAATATTTTACATTTTTATCTGATCCTACCTAGCGACCTATTTCATAGATGTGCCCGCCCCCACCCGCCCCTCTCCCGCACCGCTAAAATAGGTATGAATAACATGTACAACGCGACAGCGTTATTTATTCTATGGTTTATTAATTTCGTAATATCTATTGAATGGAATAGCCGATTTGAACAATTAAAAAAGTGATCCACATAAATTGAAACAGTTTTGAAAACAATATGATTTATTTGAATAAGAATTTAAACAGAATTATGAATAACATGGTGTAATTTTGGTCGGTATTTTTATCAACTTTTAAAATGTAAAAAGTGGTTATTGTGACATAATGATAATAGTTGGACATATAGTATCGCGAAGTTTTTTTGTAGTTATTGATATTTTCTTCAATACTGTAGAACATACTTTTGTTCTATTACCAATAGTTTCCGCAGCGCACGTGACGAAAATATTATATAGCATTACTTTTACGCCTTATGTTACGTTACTAAAGTTTTAGTAAGTATCCCTAATTTTTCTATCAATATATATAACCTATGTTACTTAGGGTCAATGCTTTAGCTTTCTAATGGTAAAAGAATTTTTGAAATCGGCAAAGTAATTTGTGAGTTTATTCATTATAAACATACACACAAAAATACAAATCTTTCTTCTTTATAATATTAGTGTAGAAGTGTAGATATACATTTCTAGTTTTGTAGTTTTATACTTACTATTATTTTAGAATTGACAATCAGTTTGGTCATATGACAATTGGTTATCTTTCTCTTACAATTAATTTTATTTTCAGGGTAGATTGACAGCCTCTTGTTCACCTTGTTGTACATATACGGATCCAAGAAACAAAAAAATCTTTGTGCAAAGGTTATTCTAAATTTAAATGTTTGCTTGCAAATAGTGTATTTTTTACATTTTATTAGTGATTATTAGTACATTACTTTAGCGGCTGGCAAGAGAGGCATTGATGGACGAACGTGTGAATGTGGGCCGAGGGGAACCCGAGGCACACATACGTGAGTCCATCAATGCCTAGTTGCGGCCAAGGCTTGTATAGTACTTTTCTCAAATAATGCGCGGAAATTATTCAAATTCACGTTATGTTTCATTAAAATTGTGCATTTTAGCATTGAATAGATGACCCAAAGCGTTGTAGGCTTCACTTTCTTGGCGAGTTCTCCGAAATAAGCCAGAAAAACATTTTCGGATAAGGATTTCTATTTTCTTTCATTCTTCCATTGAACAAAATTTTCATAGATTTTCAAATATTTTTCTTTAGATTTTGGCGGTAACAAGTTTTCTACTACGGCTCTTGCTGCCTCTTGAATTTCAGATGACGTTAAAATAATTTCATTACACTCATTGTCTTCACTTGTACTAATTTTGTCAAATACAAAAGTATTTAAAACCAATGACGAAGTTGACGAACAACTAATAACAATAGTTTTTTACGCGCCAAAATATTTTTTTTCACTAAACAGCTTTCTATGTGCAAGCCAGTTCGAAATTTAAATTAAACATTTGATAAGTTACCTCTTTGATGGTCATGTTGCGGAGTAGAAGATCGTTCCATTTTTAAATTACACGACAAATATGATTTTACATAGTAATTTATTTGGCCGCTAAACACGACAGATATGGATTTTCATACAACTATTGCCGGCCGCTGCTCGACCAGTACCGCAAGTTCGATTTATCTCGAAGAAGGTTGTCAAAATAATGCTCAAATTTCCAAGCATGTTTGAGAAAAAGTTATATATATACTCTATTTGGCTATGTTGCTTAAGGACGATAGTAAGTATATAGAGTAAGCCAATTGTTAATACTTCGCATGATTCGTACGATTGTCTTGTAGGATATAATAATGATCGAAAAGTAGAAACTTTTAGAACGGCCCTCTGTGCTGATTCAAGTAGCTTCAGAATCGTTTTTGGAGACCCTCTTCATATCGATATACCATAAGTACACAAAGATTGGCATAGCGTTAGGTAAATTGTTCTTATTAGTTTCTTATCAACAGCGTGACGGAGTCTTTTAAAAACCACTATAAGTTTTTGTACACGACTGGTAAGATATGTTATGTGGTGTTTGATTATAATTATAATTGATTGTACACTTACCTTAAGTGTACAATCAATCAATCAATTACAATTTCCAAATATTTTAGTTATGTGGTTTTTTCTAACAAAGGACAATCGCACCGACAGTTTCTCCTTGCCACGCAGTTGTGATTGTGTACTTTGAGATTGAAATTTATCGTGTCTGTATTTCGGGTAGAGAAACAGATATATTTTGTTTTCTTAACATTTAATGACAATAAATTAAGTGTTAAGAATTCCCCCACAGTATTTAAACCATTTTAGGCCACATCATAAAGCTCGTTTCAGGTGTTAGCCGTATCGTCTACATAATAAATTAATTTTTCCTTTGTAAGTTTGGTTGAGCATAGATCTTTAATATAGACGAGAAAAAGTATAGGACCCAAAATACTTCTCTGCGGAATACCATGGGTTACCGGTAACTCAGAACTACTGTATACATTCATATTCACTGTTTAAGTTCTTTCCGAGAGATAGCTTTAAAAAAACTTTTTTTTATACAACTTAGAATAGCAAACAAGCTGACGGTCTACCTGATGGAAAGTGGTAACCGTCGCCTATAAACATGAGCAGTACCGTGGACATAACAGAGTATACTGTTTCGCACATGATACCCCCCATGCGTTACCATTCCTGAGGACTCCGGTGTTATTCCTCTGTACCCAGTAAATTCACCCATATCCCAACCTTCAAACCAAAACACAGCCATGCAAACACAGCTCCTTCACGGTTGAAACACGAACGAGACAGAGGTACCCAAGCAATCGACTTTTGTACAAAGTCTCCCTCTGGTAAGCTGTAGTTGTTGACCTGTAATACCAATAAATTCAAGTTTATTTATTAAATACGATACTGGTATTATATCGAATGCTTTAGCTAGATCTAAAAATACAGCTAAACATTTTTACCTTCATCGATGTTATTTGCGATAAAATCAGTCAAAGAATGTACTGCATCGGAAGCGGATTTCCCACGTCGAAAACCGAATTGGTTTTCAGACAGTATGTAATTATTTTCAAGGTAACTAGTTAATCGCTTATTTATTAGTTTTTCCAGCACCTTCGAAATTGAGGGCGACAATGATATAGGCCTATAATTACCAATGTTAACTTTGTTACCATTTTTGTTTATTTGGAATACCTACCGTTTTTTTTAAACATGGAGGAAATATTCCTTTGTTAAAGCATCTATTAAAGATAAATGTTAGAGGTGGCACTAGAAACTCTCTCATTTCTTTTAGCATTTTCTTAGATAATTTATCCCAGTCAACCGAGCACTTAGTTTTTAATCCGATAGTAATATGTTCGACTTCCTTCTCATCTATTTCCAAGAAAAACAAAGAGCTTATAATTTTTTGTTTTTGATTTTCACTGTAACAAAATTTAGGTTTATTTGTATTTGTGTTTTCCGATATTCTTTTCCTAATGTTTCTGAAATAGTTATTTATTAAATTTACAGATTCTTGTATATTTGAAGCTACTGTTAGGA